GGGGACAAAGTTGGAAGAAAGAAAATCAAATCGTTGTAGATATATCAATAAAAAAGATGCAAATCGATTTGTTTAATAATGTTATCATAACAGTTTACTACTTTTTATTCCAATAAGTACTCGACGGAATTACTTTCAACAATTGCTTATGTAGTAAGGATCGCTTTAACCGAGTGTGACATCCAACATCTGCTATGCGATTGACTAATACGAAAACCTTACATAAACGATAAATCATGATAATTCTATATCAAATACATGTAGCACATTTCTAAAGATTTGAGACTGGTTGACATAGATACACAATGAGGTGGATATAGATGTAAATGTGTAATCAGTAAAGATCATTATAATTTGATTTTGAAACATGTTTAGGAGAAAGCGCATTTCGACAATATGCGTTGTTTTAGTACATAAAATGGCATCTTTTAACTGACAAATGTTGTCTTAAATTAATGTAATAATATGTTCTACTATTCATTCCAATATTAATTTTTTATTTTATTTTATTAAAACAGACGAAAGGAAAAAGGTATCAAATGATCGTCGCTCTTTCTGCAAATCTTCTGCTGAACTTTAGAACAAACTACCTTTAAATGTCAAAAACTGTCAGACTGTTAACCAATTAAAAACTTGTCTTAAGACACATTTATTCAAAATTGCCTTTGATGATTAAATTACTCTGTTCACATTGATATATATTTCATATGTATGGTAATTTGTAGGTTTATTTGCATTTTCTTTTTGTTTTGTTTAATATGTTATTGTTAATCATTGTATTTTGTTCGTTATAGCGCTTAGAGACTTCGGTGGTAAGCGCTTTATAAGCACCGTTTTTATTATTTATTATTATTAAACCGATATTGATCTCTATAAAAACAAAGAAGCTTACAGAACCAACGAATTCGAATAGAAAAATGGGTAGCAATTTAAACAGTATAATTATTTTATATCATATGACATTCATAATAATATTGTTCTCCCCTAGTGCCTCGAAATAGAATTATCTAGATAGATGGCGCTATAGAAATGCCTATTATTATTATTATTATTATTAGGTCTCATGTTCTTGGATTAAAAGAAAATAGAACCTACTGGCTCTCTTGTTCAATTGACGAACTTCAATCACGTTGATATTAGTTAAGCTAAATGTTCTGACTGAAAGGTAGGTCACATGGGTAAGGTCATTGGAGGAGGGTAGTTTGTGAGGGTTACATTAAACTCGACCGGTACTGTTCCCTTCCCCCTCCCCACCTCTTGCTCTCTCTCTCTCTCTCTCTCTCCCTCTCTTCCCCCTCCTCTCTCTCTCTCTCTCTCTCTCTCATGTGAACTCGGTGCCCCTACTTTCAACTCTCCTTGAGACTTCCAATTTTAGACAGCAAGGAAGCGTAGCAGTATGCCTTCACGGGTATCAATTGCAACACGGAAAGGAAGTTTGTTAAAGGAATGCATTATTTCATCGGAAAGGGAAAACGATGATGGAGAGATAATTGTTTATAATTTTGCTGAAGTCAACCCATTTCATTGTCATAATGGTTTAATCTCTTAAAAATATTATTTCGAAAATTATTTTTTAAGTATCTTCTTCCTCTCCTTTCTAAGTATATTGTATCAATAGTTATTTACATTTTGTTCTGATCAAAAATCACCCTGCCCATACTCTCATGGAAATTAATATCAAGATTATCAATCATAATAAACATGCTATTTATTCATTTTATAGGGTTTTCAAACACGTGTATGCTGCAATGAAATGGAATCGAATCGTTTAAATCGAATCTTTCACTTAATGATCAATAGCAATTTTCGATAAATTAAGTCTAATGTAAAAATTGTTCCTCGTTCTGAAAAATAGATATGGGCAAAACCGATGAAACAATACAATAATTCCATTATCACGAATAATGTTTTCCAATTTTTTTAGACGTCTATCTTAAATCTTGGACAGTTATAAGTTGATCAGTGATGAGCTTCGTTGGTGTAAAAGAAGGTTTTTCCTTGAAAATCTGTCTTCGCTATACCATCGAATACTTCATCGTACTTGCAGGAAGATACCGCTTCGCACTAAGCGGAATCAAATGCACCGAACAGGGTGTGATCTACCTTTAATTACAAGAATGGATCATTACCATTCTCCTCGACTGCATTTAGCAACCTGGTGATTGGGTAGGACGGAAAGGACCCCTGCAGGGCCAGAATCCCACCGGGTTTGAAGGTTATTCACGCCTGTATATACGTGAGAACGGTGAGATCGGATTGGATCTAAATAAGGTTGGTCCTTCTTTAAAAGTTAAGTAGACTATATACTGATTATACAAATTTCACTGTGGAAGAAACTGTCTAATAATTCTAGTACTACTCAGTAAGGTTGCATGTAGTTTTGTCCTACATACAAATAAGAGTGGTTTCTAAGGTTTTAAAATAGTCAATATGATATTTCAATATGGATAGAATTAACTTACAATAAAAAAGCATTGTACACAGATATGGGGTTGTAGGATTTGTCCAAAGATTAAAGCAATATTAGCTGTCAAGAATATGAGGGGAATTTCAGATAGTATAGCACTCATGGTACGTTAATAATTAGACATGCTTCCTCACAAAAATACAAATAATAGGAAATTTCACAGATTGTTTTCACCCCCTACAAATTGCTTTGCATTCTAGTTGTCTTCATAATTGATTTAAATCAATAGTGATTTAAAATAATTTAAAATCAAACTAATAATTGTGGTGTTACAGAGCTTGCAGACCCTTGTTCCACGGGCGAGGGCACTGTAATGTTAACCTGTAAATTTATAATTCCAATACACTGAACCAGTTGAAGCAAAATTATAGTGTTGAATCATTAATCATTATTATGATGGGGAATAAACTTTTACCGTGACATGGCTCTCTGTTTATCAGGTTAATGGTGGGCCAAGATGGGGGCAAAAAACAAAGAAGGCTTTTTTCATGGGGTAGTGAATGCTCATATTTTCTATTTGTAACTTTTCAGATTAATTAAATTGGAAAAGAAGTCTTGCTGGGGACGAAATCTTTATGACCACCATAATCTGTAAGTCTTTATCTTCACCTAAATGTGCGCGCGCGTGCGTGTGCGTTTGTGCGTGAGTGTGTGTGCGTGAGTGTGTGTGCGTGTGTTTGTGTGTGTGTGGGAGATGTAGGCGTATGTAGGGGATGGGTAAATGCATGTTTTTACTGAGGTGTGAGATGTGTGGGTACATGTGAGTGTGCGTGTATCCTATTATAACATCACTCATGGTATTATAAAGAAGAGAGAATGTTTACGTTATAAAAATTATTGAAAAGTTTTTTTTTTTTTTAAAGATGCTTATAGCTTTAAACAGCATATATAAGGTTAAAAGCTATATATTTTATGACGTCTTGTGATAGACGAATACAAATATGTTAGTCATTATTATTATTTTTGTTTAATAAAAAATATTTCTTTTAATTGGTGCTGGGTAACATCCTAAATATTAGGATTCATCAAATTTATTTCTCTACATACACCAGCCTGCAGGCTACATTACTTCGAAATCTAATTCTAGGGTCGGACTGATGAAATCGAAACAAGGTACTGACTAATGAAAGAAAGTCAAACATCATTACTGTGGAATGTTGCCAAATTCAGAGTCTTTTTGGCGGAGTAAGAACGAATGATGCAGCTTCAAGATCATGGCGTCGTTTGTGTACAAGTTACCAAGGCAACAGAAATAGCGGTAAGTGCTTAATAACACATGTTGGAAAATGCGTAGTAATGTGCAAGATTGGCAAAAAGTGCTGGGAATGAATACAACATTCATTTCTTATGAAAATGTATGGTCAGTATCTTTCAATGTTACTGATTTAAACACTCTTTAAAAAGAAATTATTCAAATTCGTTGTGCGTTGTACTGATTTAACGAGCTCAGCAATATACTGTTTGTTCGATTTGTGTCATTTTAATGATTGAAAAGGTTCTAAATAATAATAATTTCCAGTGGTAAAAATAAAAGCTATGATATCGTTTGTTCGGTATGGTATACCTAACCGACATGAATTTACTTTTACTAAAGTAAGAGCTCACACCACTCTCACTTCCGACATTGCGCTTACTGCCTGTGTATATCTACTATAATACACACACATGCTATACTTAGAGACTCTTATAAAGGGTAAACATACACCCCTCTCTCTTTCATCTTACCCTCTCAAGGTTTACATGGGGTGCATGTCATTGTACAAATTGGATGAGTAATCGCCCTACTCGTTAAACTTAACCTGTATGTCCGAGTTATAAGATTGGACCTCATGGAGGCTAAGAGAGGCCTGCCTATAGTAGACAGGATATACAGACACGGGAACGAATGATTGCCAAGGCCAGTGTGCTTAAAACACTGCTATTTACACAAGTAGCAAATCTAGGGTTCTTTTTGCTAAGCTGCAGTTTTGGAGAAAGCTCAACGAACGAACAAAAAGAAAGTGATATCGTTGATGAATTTAATACACTCTGACATCACCTTCCTGTGTGCAATGTCAGCTGTCCTTCTCAGTTAATATAACTAATAGCCTTTCTATCTATAGAAAAACAATGCAAAGAATTAACTAAAAACGCATCCTGAGTCCAATCTTCATTGATGTGCTTAGTTTTAGTTGGTAAACGAATCATAACGAGCGAAATATACTTCAAATGCAAACAAAAATGGATCGGAAGAAAACGTTGGCAAGTTAAACAAAAAGTTGTGGCAACAACATCTTGCAAGACATGTGGCTGCGATTTTTTGTAAACATAAATATGAAATGCAGACATGTAGTTCACTACAAGTGATCAGTCTTTGCAGTAGTACTCAACGCTGTGCAAACGAATTTCATCCCCAAATAACTCGATTGCTATAATTACGCTATTATTAACACAATGTCATCTTGCGTACAGACTTCTTAGATTCTACCTTGGGTTAGCTTAGGCGTTGCCATTACGGATTATCTGTCTGATCTTGACAGAATGACATGCTTACCTTGGAGATCGACTTGGTATAATCTGAGGCCTGGTACAATCTGTTGACGAACCTCCGACTGTTTGTTGTCTGTTGTAGATGATGGCACCGGGTCGAGCAATAAACGATGACGACGACGACGACGATGCTAGTTCCATCCGATAGCATATCGACATCCACAGAAGTACTATCCACCTTCCTTGAATTATAGGCGTACCAATTAGATCAGATGCCATTTCAATGGTTATTGTAGATAATTATATCCAATATTCGAATCATCTAGTGGTATTTTATTCCTCAAATGTGCAGTGATATCTTACCCAACACAGGTCTGGATGGCATGGTCATCTTGGGAAAGCTGAAAAATGACAGATCAATCGAATATTATTCTTCGGGAAGTTGGAAACTTCTAGATTGATTGGTTAAATCCTTAAAAAGATGTTACTCGATATACATCAATAATATCCAGAAAGCCTCATTCATGTGGCATAGATGAAATGCTTGAAGCATCTGCTGTACATCATCTTGGCGCCAAAATCTGCATAACTGTGTTGCCAATATTTATTTCCTCGAGATCTTAATGTTATAATCCACAATGCGTAGGCGACACTGTACAGCTGCTGCAGGAGAAAATGTCTTGATGCATTGATCAAGCTGAAGTAGTATCAAAATATCGATGCAATGGAATGGCTCATGTAAGTTCCATTTAAAACTTGTTGAACGTTGTTGAACAGCGCGCTTGTTTCGTTCTCCAACCGATCGTTTAAGTCCTCAGCGTAGGAACCACGCAGAAGCACTCATCGTCAACCCCTGAACTCGACCTCACTCACTCACTTTCACTCTGGCCGAGTTGATGTGTATTCCGTAAACTTGCAAGAAGTGGACTGAGTTCTACATTCGCTAGTCATCTCGGCCGCAGTGGAACACATGCAAGCTGCCAGAGTGATCCTGAGTCATCCAACTTCAACTTCCGTCTGCAGTCGATGAGCGCGTCATACACTCTTTGGTTCTGCACCCGCACTGGGGGTATAAAATCACAGACGGGTTATAAAACAAAACAGATTGATAGATTCTCTTTCTCCCTCTGTGTGTCTCTCTCTCTTTCTTCTTTTCTCTTCTTCCCATTTCTTGTTCTCGTTCTTGGTCTTGTTCTTCTTCTTCAGATCATGTTCAGGTCCTGCAACATATTCTCTTATGACTATTGTTTGAAATATTTCCTCTTCTGTTTTCGCACTTTCCGTTTTTGTCTCTCCCCCTCTCTATATATATCTCTACACACACTCCCTTTCCCTCACTCCCTCTCTCTCTCTCTACCTCCTACTCTCTTTCTTTCTCTCTGACAGACAATTTATCTGGCGATCAAGAAAATAAAAGGTCAGATCTAATGCTCCAAATTCTTCAAGGATGAGCTCCGACTGCAAACAAACTTCTTTCCCTGAAAGCTTAATGTAAACGAAACAAACTTTTCTCCTATTACAAATTTTGATCCAATTGCAGTTTAACTCATGTGTACAGCTACCAGATCTAGATTATTCTTGGAAGAAATGAATATAAACAGATAACGTATATATATAGATTTTTAATATACCTTTTTAAGAACTGATATTCCTATGACAGAGGTCAATCAATAATTTTGCCATTATGGGGAGAAAAAAAAATCTCCATTTTCGTTCGTTTGGAAAAACGTGGGAGTGCCACAAAAATACATTTTGATTAAAAAAAGAATACAATGGAGGAAGAGAACAGTGGATTTAGAAGATCAGGAAGGGAATAATTTTTCACCTCGGGAGGGGCACATTTTTCAACTTCTGCTGCCTAGGGGGAAATGCACTGGGTTCCTAATACAATTACGTAAAGTAATATAATAATTGAATACAATTACTGAAACCTGGAGAAGATCCCCGTGGACATAACAATGTTTTTTACGAAATTGAATGAAAATAGATTTAAAATTTAGTGAATAAATGACACATTGTGACTATTATGAATTTGTAAATGTTTGTTACACTAATAAGGGGGTTACACTAATAATTCTAAACGAAAGTATAGACTTTATATAAGATTAGTGTACATAATTATCTACATTTCAACGAAATTTAAGTAAATATGAAAGCTCTTATCATAATTGTTGGCGTACAGACACATCAATTATTTATGGCACACAGGTTTGTGTATCAAAACATTAATGTTTGCCCAAATTATGACAGTTACCTCTCTAAAAATGACACCGGGATTCGTGTAAACTTTTGACGCAATTGGTGTTAATAAGTAGATGCGTCACAGTCATGTTGTATTCTTTCACCCTTTCTTCACCTTACTGTCACCTTTCTCATAGTAAAGCATGGTAAATAACTCTCTTCGTGAGCTAATCAAAGATCGGAAACGATTGCTTCGCGGTTGCTTAACACATAAATCATCACCGAAACATTAACTTTCTCAGTCATCATCTTTAAATCCAACCTTTCCTCTTTTATTGTTTTAACTTGTCTGGAGGAGGGATATAAAAGAGTAAATGAGAACTCTTTTATAAGGATATATTTTAAAACAGACGAGATTAATCCGCTTTATATGATTTATTACCCGATTAGATTAAGATTACGAAGAAGGGGTTGATTCATATTTATTTTGCCGTCACTCTATAAAAGAAGAGAATGTTTGCCTGGTGTGCTTAATCTCATAGCGACGTAGAGGCTATACGACAGTTGATTAAAACGTAAGTGATCTGCCAAGAAATTTTCCGGAAGGAATAAATTAAGGAAGCACACATTTATATGTTCTCTGTCATTACCCCTCATATCAACATGCCGATATCTGGCACAATAATTTGACATTTGTTCTGAAAAATGGACAGGTAACCATATTATTTACTATTTCTAATATGCGGATGTCATTTTTACTGATAATCGGATGTCATAATATCATAGGGATAGTTTTCTCCTAAAATCATAATTATACTTCTACTTAGGGCTACTTATATTGAACAAATTCTACTGCTATAGGCCGGTACTGCTAATTACGTTCTTCTTCTTCTCCTTCTTCTTCTCCTCCTTCTCCTCCTCCTCCTCCTTCTTCTTCTTCTTCTTCTTCTTCTTCTTCTTCTCCTTTTTCTTCTTTTTGTTGTTGTTGTTCTTCTTCTTCTTCTTCTCCTTCTTCTCCTCCTTCTCTTCTTCTATTTCTTTTATTTTCTTCTTACTTTTAATATAATTTTATTACTACTATACTACTACTATACTACTACTACTACTACTGCTACTACTACTACTACTACTATATACGACGACGACGAATACTACTACTACTACTACTACTACTACTAACTAGTACTACTACTACTACTACCACTACTACTACTACTTCTACTACTACTTCTACTATTACCACTATGTTATAACAATAACCTCAATCAAAATAATTGTATTGTAGTATTGTGGTCTTTGTAATTTTTATTCTCATGCACGCTATTGATAAATCTTCATAAAATGATATAAAAACATGTTTCTCTGTCATACCTAAAATTGAATGCACGGAGTGGGGGTTCTTTTAATTGTCGCAAACTTTTTAACCTTTGGAATATGGCGTCATCTTTCTTAATCGATGTCATCTGTTTACTGACAAAACAATAAAAATAACCTACTTTGGTCAATACTTAAGGGCAGCATGCCAGTAAAACTAATACGTTTGGAAAATTCTCAAAAACGATAAGTATTTCTCAAGAGCGTTGACTCCTGAGCAAATGATAACCTATATGCGGACAAATCACTTAAAGTTTTAGCATGAAATAACTGGATTGCGAGAGTGAATTTTAGAATACCTAAATATGAATTGTATTTGTACAGTAGGTAATAACTCAATTCGCGCGTAAATTGAAGATTATGATATAAGAGAAACAACACAAAATGCGTGTTGGACAACTGCGAATACACATGGAAACAAACGAATATTAAGTGGTTTTAACGAAATGACAATCGGTATATAATTTTAGTTTTAGAAGCCGTTTAATAAGGGGCTTTCACACAATTTTGATCTACTGTGCATACAAAATATAAAAATGAAAGAATATACCATAATGATATTCATAAATGGACTTTTGAATTCTATTCTGAAGATGTTTGAGATACATTTAAATGATTTATCTAAACATCTTCCTAGAACCGCTTAGGTAATATCTTTTATAAATTAAACAAAAAATGCAATTTCATTTCGTTTCCGAAAAAAGAACTATAATTTAACATTGCCTATCTACTATTACATTCATTTGAGAATTATCTAGATTTCTTTGTTTATTTTCAACAAGTCCACATCCGCGCGTGTGACCAATACGGAACCGTCATACACACAGTACGACCGTTCTTATGACGTCACGAAACGTCATATTTTCGTTAACCTTGAAGTTCATTGACACAATGGTGTAGTATCGTGACGTCATGTACACTTCTTGCCAAGTCATAGTGTTTGTAAAGAAACAGAGGGCACAATTTGTACAGAAATGGCTATAAATCAATTTCATAACGAGAAAGGATTATTTCGATCTGTTAACGTCAGTTAAAGTTTAATAATCGAGGTCAACTCGTAGTATCAATATTAGAAAACGTTTAGTCGTTTTATTGAAAGGCGAACAGTATAGAGTACCGAAGTGTGACGTCATACTGGTCTATTTGTCAAGGTTGCTGTTTCCAAACAGTTTTGTGCTAAACAATAGTAAGGTGATCACACCAGTCCAAACACTGAATTGCCCTGCTCCAGCCCGTTGCTTGAATGATTTCGCGGTGAACCTCATGCGCAGTCTCCGTTGTTTAAAACAGTAACCTGGGAGACGAGCGAATATGACGTTAGTACTTCACTTTTGTAGGCTGCCTAATATTTTATCTTTATTTTAAAAAAATTGCCCATTGTTGCTAAAATTCAAAATTTCGACAAAACTAGGTGAAGACGGTATCCCCATGGACAGGTTTACATGCAGAAATGTCATGTCGCACCACTTTGAGGGACATGTCTTGTTTTATTTAAATACGATCAATCTAGTTGTAGCAAATTTCACAGCGTTTTCACATTACTTTTTTCATTTCAAAATGCAAACATACTTTTCTTCGGTTACTCCATCCCTCCTGAAAGTTAAGTGATACCGAAACTTCTTCGACAAATCCGTCATCACTGAGCAAATCTCACTTTGATGTATTTTTAAAGGTTCTTGTCTTCATGGTATTCCAATATACAAGTGCCAATTTGTACGTGTACCTGATAATTATGACACAGCAAAAAAAAAGTCACTTCGTCAAACCTGACAGGTTACTCTTTTACAGGTTTATACACCCTGGATCCGCGGGCTTACCTCTTATATCTGATGATGAACCTAGACAGTCCAAGAGAGATTTCCGCCCAATCTCTATAACGTCCTAACACCCGTAAACATGGGATTTGCAGACGGATCCAGGATCTCAACGGATAAATCGGGGAAAGTCTTGAGCCTAGCTAAACGTGTGTCTTTGAGGGAGTGAGTAAGCTTGGAAAGACGCGAGGCTGAAGAAGAAGAAGGGGAAAAAAGACTGATAAAGTCAACCATTTTACTTGATTTAAGTCAAGAATTTTCCTTAAAGTATGGAAATATCATCATATTATTGTGATTTTCATGCCCTGAAGCAGATGTTAAAGGTAATACAAAGTTTTGGGAAATTTCGAAAATTGGGTGGATAGTAATTCTTTACAATTTTGATATATTTGGATGCCCCTGTGGATGTATTAAGGGCACAACAAAACTTAGCCCCTAAAACAATTCTGCTTTTGAGAAAAATTGAATATAAACATTTACCGGTGCTCCCGGTAAATGTTGATAAATTTCAAATAGCGTCTACGGCCGTACAATGGTAGCTGCGACCATGAAAATCACAGAATATGTAGTTGTGATATATAATTTCCAAACGGGAATAGCAAATTGGTCGATTTTAGTCAAGAAACATTGTTTTATAGCTTAATTAATATCTTGACCTTGAGAGGGAGCCATACAACATGAAGAGCTTATTATTGACAATTTCATAACTTTAGACTCGATTTCAACCGCGACAACGATCACTGAATATTTTAGGATCACATTATGCTTCCAATATGTTCATTTGAACCAAATCCATGACCCCATACCAAAACTTTGTATTACCTTTAAGTGAAGAAATTAATGTGAACTTTTGTGTTTATTTTCATTATTATTTTATTTTCATTATTATTGTTTATATTATAATAATTAGGCAACACTGAAAGACAAACAAGTGCAAGCTATAGAATCAGTATATTTAAAGGCCTGCTGTACTAGTTTAGCCAGAAGGGATTAGACCACACAGCGAGGTCACTGACAGGTGGCTATCTCATCAACTCAGCTCTCGATTAACATAAGAAAAAGAGGATCATGGGGGACCAACAGGCACCGATTGGGGAAGTTTTCTATATAGAGGGAGCAAGTAGCTACAAGTAGGACAGTGTGGTTCAACTTCTATCTATATGAAAGGGTAGTTTGGTGTAAAGATACCATGTCCCTTTTGCAGCCAACATCAAATTCTGTATATAGAACCTTGCGAAAATTATGAATATGTCGTGTATGTGCTATCTGTAAAATTTAAACGTTAGCAGTGTCCTAGTATTTAAATAATGCAAGGAAACCCGTTTACTTTCTAGACTTCTCTGTCAGTGACTGACTGACATCTGTTTTCTTTTGTAATAATATACATAAAATGAGCTGTAACAGGTACATGAGCATTTGCCTACATCAATAACACACTATGGCCAAAATTCAAATGATTTAATCGTTGTGCTGTACAAAACGTACGACCATTCGGTACAAGGTTCTGAAAATCAGACTATTAATTAGGTGATTGCAATCACTTATGTCGATCCGAGAACAGTTTACTAATGGTCGTTATTTCCCACAAAAAGCAATTTTCAAACGTTTTAAGGAAAGTTCTAAATAAGTATCTTTAAAATGCCGTTAGAATATAACCTTTTCATTTTGTTGACCTGCCAATGGTACATAGTACCTCGAACTCTGTAATACATTATAAAGATTGCACCAATAAATACAGTGCTCTTTATATTTTGTATAATTACACATTCTTATTTAATTTTAATTTACTTAATTCAAAAAATTACTCTGCATTGCAGAGTCTGCAATGCAAAATGCATAGGCGTCTTACCATGCTCCATTTCGGCAATGATTAGACAAGATAATTGGAGAATACCGCGATGACTGTATCTCATCTTGACTTCCTTCCAACTCAAGATTGTCCACCTATGAACCCCATCTTACAACAAATTCAAATAGATATCCACCTGTCGGCTGGTCAATCTGAATCTCGTTTGCTTGCCAAACTCACGGGCAAGCACAAGTAAACGCAGTAGCAGATCTCGGAATCTCTGACGGGTCATAATTCCTCAACTTATCTGATATAAAGCAGAGAGAGGGAGAGAGAGAGAGACAAAGAGAGGGAGAGAGAGATAGGGGGGGGGGAGAAAAAAAAGAAGAGGGAAAGAAAAATCTCACATTTTGGGAGTGCTCGCTCTTTTCCAAAATTGCTTAAATTTGGGGAAAGATCGAGCATTCCCAAAATGAAAAATTTAAAAAGAAAGAAAATAGATACGAAAACGGTCAGAAAAAAAGTTTATCAAATTTTCAGGTGCTTGTTTAGTCTAAAATTTCTGACAGGGGCACGCAGGAGAGGGGTGCACATATCATGTTTGTGTCCAATTCGGATTTTTCGGAGTGTATATATGGACACTGTACTCTCCATTATGATCCCAACCTCCATCCCTAACAAGTCAACGTAGTGGCTTCCGCCAGCTAGTCCGATCGGTGCGGGCAGCAAGCGAACCTATATAGGCCTACTTTCTGAACTAGAATCGTGAGACAGCAATAAATCTTCCAAGACAAGATGAGTGAAAGTTAACTACCATGACAGGACAGAGCATGTCATTGTAATTTGATTGACCAATAAAGGGATAACAGATGTCGACCGCGTTAAGAATGACCGTTGACATATTTTCGAGATTATGCGACTATAATCCAAAAACGTCACTTGACATTGGTTGAGGAAAGTCAAGTGTGCTCACAAATTATTGATGACCTGTTTGACTATATTTGTTAAATATTTTGTTTTATAGAAGTTATGATTCCCACTTATAGGTACATATAGTCAGTATGAAATTGGTAAAGACTCTGATAAGACCAGAATCTGATAATAAGACCGGCAAAAACTGGGAGCCCCCCCCCCCCCATCCTGTTTCTCCGTACCCCACTCCCTTGCAAGCTCAGTGAACGCCATAGATAAAGCCCCCCCCCCCCCCCCCTTGTGAAGGAACAGCTCTTTACTACGATGAATATGCATGATAATACCTTATTAGTTTTAAAAAGTCAACTTTCCGAAATCGTCTCTATTTTGCCCCTGAAAAAGTTTAGTCTGTTCCTCCCTTTCTCTCCTCTTTAAAAATATATCATCATTACCTCTATCAAACTCTAAATCCCTGATGCTCTCTTCCCTTTTACCTCTTTTTCACCCAACAAATTTGTAATATTAATGTACCTGGGTTGAGAAAGAGAGAGGGAGGGAGAGAGAGAGAGAGAGAACGTTAAATGACTTGTCTCATCGTGGCTTGAGTCATCAGATCAAAAAAGAAAGTGGTGGGGTATTGAAGACAAATCTGCAAGCCACAAATCTCATAACTATATAGCAGTTAATTGCAACGACATTCTCGAGACAGATGTTTCTGTACGCAGACTTTACAGAGATGAAAATCTTCATTTGTTGACATGGGCAATTGATATTTCTCTTTTGTGAAATCCTGTATGGACAATGGAACCCCCCCCCCCCCCCCCCCCCCGAGCATGGTTCTCCAAATGTTTAGAATGAAGAATCATAAAATAAACCCTAGGCAAAACATATATCGGAAGAAAAAAAGAATAGTTGCAAAGGAGGAACAACGCCCTTTTCTCTTTATTTGTCTTCTCTGACCTATACACTTATCAAAGGATACATCCTTATGTAGCATCAGCTCTTGCTACTTCCTTTAAATGTCCCCTTTGGTATTCTTAGTCAAGCACTATGTGTTTATACTGATCATAGATGGACTTTAAAAAAAGTATTAAGAATCAAGATAAACCCTAGGCAAAATGTGTGTAAAGAAGGAAGAATAGTGGCATGCACGTTTTAATGCGATGACATACTCCATTAGAAGATGTGGTTAACAGATCTAGATCATGTTCAATTCTATTAGTTGTGTTCTATACTTTGTCTTCAAATTGAATTTTGGTGGTTTGACTCTTAGTCTAGCTCTTAGTCTGCTATGAGAAAGAAATACATTTAAGCTAGGTGAAGCATTACAAAAATGACAGCAATATCACAGGAGGTAACAAAGACATTGGAATAGAGATGTTGGGCATTTAGGATTTTAAAGATAAAGTTGAGTTCTGGTCTTGCAATTGCATTGTAAAAGAAACAGTGTGGAATTGATCAGAAAAAGTATTGGTGTGTACTGCAAGGTTCTGGAATCATCAAAATGATAAGAAATTCGGCCCAAGTACACAGAAAGATGTATATGGGACTACACAAACATGTGGCATAAAAATGTGGTCATTTTAAAACTGTTACATGTCAAATTAGAATATGAAGGCATTTGAAGAGCTACGTTTTGCAGGAAATATTTTTTTTATTCTTCCGCACCTGCATAAATTAAACAATTAAAACGCTCACAAATCATTTTCCACCTCATCCCAGAACTCAACCTTCTCTTTAAATAACAGAGATTTATCAAAGAGTGACTACTTTGATGATTTAACTCGGTGGAGATATTTCATTTTCAAAAACTGAGTCTTGTGTACTTTCATGTTGCTAATGCTGCCTTTCAGGAATTCTCCATATTTCTAATGATAATGGAACAAGAAGAATGTATGTATCATCTTGCTCTTACTAAAAACATTCTCAAATATGATTTAAAACAAATAAGAGTTGAATCAACATAATCTATGATGGGAAAGTACATGTATTGTCATTAAAAAAAAGAGAAAATAAACAAAATGATAATTTCAAAGTCAATTTAATCTTTCTTCGCAAGATATACACAGGCCATTTCCCTTCAATAGATTAAACATTTAAATCAAACTTAATAACAAATACAAATACAAGACAAGAACGGTCTTGTTTACCTTCAATATAATATCTAAATCATCAGATGGTATCTCTACTTGTTTTGAATGGTCATAATCTGCTAATCATACCTTGGAGTGATATGATGTGACTTCATGTCTACTCAGTGCCAGAAAGGCATTAACTCTGTCTTGAAGCATATGAGTTAACGACCTTCTGGCTCCAGACGACTTCTATGTCAGCAGTTCTTGCCCTTCATGACTAATCCCCACCCTAAAATAAATGACAATGCACTTTATGGTAACAACCGAGTGACTTCTCATTTGGCAACGGGATCCGACCATCACCTTGTGTACTGAATTAGCTTCATCAGAAGGGGGCCAGGCCATGTACATTCTTATTATTTAACTAATAAAGCATGCCAATAAATGAAATGTGATTTAAACAAAATGCAGAAATATCTCCCCAACAGAATACAAATCTGAGTCTATGACCTCTTAACCCTCTTTGGTCAATTAATGGGACAAATAGTGGACTGTCGCCTTGATTTTTGTGACACATATAAAACGTAATATTCCACAGAATGTTACATTCTAGGGATTCATGAGGCAGGGAATGAAGAGTTAACTTATTAAAACTTAAAAATAAACAAATTGGGGTGGTAGTCTATGAAACATTATGTTACAGTAAAATCAAATCATATGCAACAGCTTAAGGCATGTGTAAGGTAAAAGATTTAAGGGCTGAATTTATTTTTTAAAAGGGAAACTCCAGAGTATGTACCATGCTACATGTATTTCACTAATCACTACTATTGTATAATGCTGCTTCGAAATTGTTGATTTGTGAAGTCCAAAGATGAAAGCTCATTATAGAGAGTAATAATAAAAAGATGCACTTTAGAGTAGACATACAACACAAAATGTCCACTGTATATTTATATATACTGTACCATTTATAAGCCTCTCTCATCTTCAACACCACTGCATAAAATATACACTATTTGTCATGACCTATTAAAGCAACATATGTCTTGATTTTCAACAGAGTTCCCTTTCATATTGTTGTAATGGCAACCAAAGTCTGTACATTTCAGAAACTCTACACATACATGTATTTTGAATATTCATGTGAATTCATATTTTCAAAACTTAAATTACGATACTCAAGAGCAGAACAAGTTGGCATATTATGACTTGCTGAAAGCTTGAACAAAGTTTTGAGAAATGTAAAATAGCCAATACACATCTAATCTCTACAATCAAATATTTTTTTATTCAGAAATGAACCGATTAAAATTGTCATTTACCTAGTAGTTTTATTCCCAGGATTACAATCGGCAAAATGTTGAAACAAAGCACACATATATGGTGCTCAACCAATCAGCAATTTGTGATGAAAATGAATTATTGCACCATTAAAATACGTGCTTACAGTATTCTTTTTTTTAATAAACATATTAATAAATCTTTGGGTTTATATGAATGTGGCTTAAGCACGGTATATTACTGGAAATTATTTTCAATTTATTTCAGGCTACATTTGCTGGGTAGAGTTTCCATTCCACGTGTTATTTTCATCATCATCTTCTTGTTGTGTGTTTAACCGATGAACATTGCCCTCTTGGCGAGAAAAGTTATCAGCATTACTTCCAGAAGCTGGTGTTCTCCTCCTCGCGTATGAACTGTAGGAAATAAAGGTAAATTATCAAAACAGAGAACATTAATATTAAGGGTAGACTAGCTGTACATGGTCAATGAATTGATTCCTAAATGTTGGCATACATCGTAAGTTATAATGCAATTAATCAAAAGTTGGTATTCTTGACTTATCATGTACGTGGCCTGTTGTGGACACCAATTCACTCATTTATTGAAATGTTTCTATTATTTAATCTGTAGAAGTTTAAGGGACAAACATCAAATGATAGAGAGAAAGCATGTTGTTTCATCATCAACATACCTGTATCCCTAAAAACAAGTTGGAATTTAAAAGATCCTACTGGAAAATAAGCACAGGGTTCATAGTTAACTAATTTAAAACACTTAATCAAATCATTTCCTACCACCAGCCAAAAAAATAGGTGCATTATTTAAATTATTCTTTAAATTTTGATATCAAATATACCACAAAAAGCACCAATCTTTTTTTCTTTTCAATCCTCTGTATTAAACAAAGGAATCACATGCCTCAAACAAGATACAAAAGGAGAACTACTGATAATGCTTCTAAATTTTGGAGAATCCCCTGCTATCTTGTATAATCTAGACAAGGTACAGACCAAGATATATAATAATGATAATAATATTCAGTTCTTGTATAGCGCATAATACATTATGAATTAACATCTCTATGCGCTTCCAAAGAGCTTTGGAAATTATTACCCTAGCTTTAGCTCTGGCAGTATCAGCGCACAGTGCATTTCAAGGAATAATCCTACCAGGTACCCATTTACTTCACTTAGGTTGAGTGTGGCAAATGTAAATTAATGTCTTGTCAAAGGACATTAGTGCCACAGGCTTTCTAAAAAGCTGACATTTTTGGGGGTAGAATGAGTTACTTTTTGAGAGCGAACACTAAAATATATTTTGCTATGAATGCTTCGCATTTCAAGTCAGTATGCTATATTATAAACATCAGTGTTAATATTACTTCTGTATAGAGAAGTAGCGAGTTTAAATACTCTCTATTAAAATGATAGTAAAAACGAACTGTGGGTAGACAAGTCAACCAATCTATAAGCCAGACATGGAACCCACGTTTGATTCTCTGTTCTATGCGGTGTTTCTTTATTATCCTTCATTACCTTAACCTTTGACCCATAGAACATAATGTAAAGTGTTTGTGTCATTTTTAAAATTTACTAGCTGTACACAAATAATGTCATAGGTGATTGGGACCGTTATTCTTTTAAGAGATTTACCTTTTTGGTCTAGCACCTGCGCCTCTACTACTCCTATCTCCAGCGGGGGATTCCGGCCCGACGGGGCTCTGTGAGGGTGACGGGCTAGGCTGGGGGCTGGAGGTTGACTCCGGAGAACCAAAGATGACGTTGTAGATGATGTTGTAGACGAATAGGAATGGAGCGAGGACCCAGGAGACGAGGCCACCGTCACTGGATGCAGATACCTGGGACCTGGACTGGCCCGATGTTGTAGGTGTTAATCTCCCCTGGAAAAAAGTAGAATGCACAAGATCAATAATGGATAACACTCCTTAGTTATGAAACATGTTAGCGGTATAACATATGTCAATGTCATTTGTATATCACTTATTTTCAAACGGATGTTAGTAAACCCAGACTACATGTATGATGGTAATAATAATACTCAGTTTTTTGTATAGCGCTTATTAGAATCATTAAGCGCTTCCAAACTAGGAGATTATTACCCCGGCTTTAGCTGTGCTGCCATTGCGGCGCTCTAGCATTTCAAAGAATTAATTCCTGCCAGCTACCCATTTTCATCACCTGGGTTGAGTGTGGCAAATGTAGATCAATGTCTTGCCAAAGGACCTTAGATGATGCTCTAGAATAATAGATGTATGTCTATCATCATCATCTATACGGGAGTGTAGGATATCCTGTAGGTCTCCCGGTCAGATCACTTGGTACATTAGTAAAGGTCTATAAATCAGTGCATGCGTGGATGTCAGACTATGCTATTACAAAGTTATTATTACTATTACTCTCCTTCTGTTTAACTAGTATGATCCATAAAGAAGTTGGATAAAGAATGAAGTTGTGTATTACAATCAAAATGATATTTAACTATATAGCATAAAACTGATTCAGAAATGTTATAAATTCTACACAAAATTAAATAACAAAATTTCAAAATATTTTAAGATTCCAACCATGGTGCAATGTTGGCTCAATTCAACTGAACATTGAGAACGTCACCATTCTTCCATGGAGTCATTGACTCATTGGTGATAAGTACCATGACCTCAAATTATTTCAAATACAATTATAGGAAGGAAAAAATTCATGACAGATGAAGTAAAAAAAAACTCACTGGCAGTACAACTATTGCTGCTCTAGGAGCTAGACCAAGATCAAGGAACGTTGTCTGCATGTCGTTGGGTCCAAAGTTCCTCCTTGGGTATGTCACTGATAGAGTAAACTCAGGCAGGGCTGCTCCAACATTCTACATACAGAGACCGTTACAACAATTATTTATTCATGTAACCATATATATTTAAAGCAGGCTCACCAATTCAAGATTCATGTTTTGTTGTAATAAAAAAAAATTAAAAAATGTAAGTGATGTAAAATTTAATATTTAAAAAAAAAGGATTGTAAAATAAAGAGTGCATTGTACATTTGTACATTGTGAAATTATCATTATCCTGCGAACACATGCAAATAATAACTAACAAATACAAACTAAATGAAACTGTTCTATAATGGATAAGCATGGCTCGTGAAAGATACAACTTTCATGCATATTTGCCTTGATCATATATTACGTAGTTTGCCACTATAAAATATAAAGAATAAACAACAAATTATTCACTTTGTCAAGATTTCAAACCGAGTGATTTTTTTCTTCTTCAAGGTCAAGTGTACAAACATCGTTAACACTAGATTGTGACCATGTTTTTGTATATGCTATCTCTTACTCAATGACCCAAGTGTAGTAGGTCATTAAGAAATGACCCAAGTCTTGAATTTTAAAATGTATGAATACCTGTTTGATATAATCTTGAGCTTCTTGAAGGGGTGCTTTGGAATCAAACTGATTGGTCATAGTGGAACCATCTGGTAGTCGGAACTGTATCATGGCTGTATCCCTATGGCAACAAGGAATAATAACATAAGATCACAGATGTTGTGAGAGAATGAACATGCTATATCTTTAAATATTTTGAATTAACCAATTGACCATGGATACTGGGTGGTTCCTACATTAAGCCTTTGAAGAAGAAGGAGAAGAAAAAGAAGAAGAAGAAAAAAAAGAAGAAGAAGAAGGAAAAAGAAGAAGAAAAAGAAGAAGAAGAAAAAGAAGAAGAAGAAAAAGAAGAAGAAGAAAAGTAAGAAGAAAAAGAAAAATAATAATAAGAAAACTTACAGCTTAGCAGCTTCCTTTTGGGCCTGTGTTGCTTTCAATGTTTCTTCCTTCTCCTTCTGAGCTTGCATCTTCTGCTGTTCTCTCTTCTCTTTCTCTGTTCTGAATCTAGCCTCTTTCTCTGCCTTATCTCTTGCTAGCTGCTGGAGAACCTATACAACATGTATAGAAAGAAGTGATGAACATCAATATTACATTGTGGATTTAGAAATAGTGACATTAAAACAACAAAGCACTTGTACAGTAAATCTTTAAGGTCAAAATACGACTACTGTTTGATTTGTTTTCAAGATCTTACTTGGAGTTACCCGCAAATTACAGTCAAAAATTGATTTAGATGAATCAATTTCTAAATAGGGTTTTCTAAACAAACAGAAGTAAAAAAAATCATCAAAAATTGATTTAGACGAATAAATTTCTAAATAGGGTTTACTCCGCAAACAGAAGTCACAAATCATCTATTCAACAAAACATTTACTCATTGACATTTACACATATAATGATACACGATTATCAAAGCCCATGAATTTTATCAACCCTGTTCCTTTCTTGATACTTTTGATAGGTTTGCAATTCTTCTTACAATTTGTTGATTGACCAATTATTTATTTTACCTGTTTGCTTAGATGTCTCAGAAATTCCTATACACTTCTTCTGAATCTGAGGCTTATGTGACTAGGGAATTTGAGGATAAATGCAGGGATGCCAACCTTTCAGAGCACAAATCAGTAACCATAAGGCTCAAAATCAGTAATTTGGGGAATAAATCAGTAATTTCCTATGCGGCGCCATGAATCTTAAAAGAATGGCGGACGCATGCGCGCATGATTATCTGAAATTTGTTGTGATTTTACTCCCACAAAGTTGCTAAATATTGATTTTCAGTTCATCACAACACATAAGTTTTCAATGAAAAATTGGCTTCTATTAAGAGAATACTTGATAATTTTCCATCTTTCTCATGCAGCGAGTGCTGGATGGCCACCATACTGTACAGCACTTGCTACGATAGATCCCTATGCGCAAAAAAAAAAAAAAAAAAAAAAAAAACGTAATTTTTAGTCAACATTCCGTACTGCCGTAATGGTCGTTAATTTCCATACCAATTACGGGAAATCCGTACTAGTTGGCATCTCTGTAAATGCCCCATTCACCTCCTCTACAACATTTTTGTGAGGCACCCCTCCTACTTTCAGGGTAATGAGATGGGCTGCATTTATTACTGTCAGATACTGATCCAATTTCTAACCTTTTCCCTGGCTAATTTGTCATCAAGGCGTTCCTTGCGAAGATCATCTGCTGCCTTTCTGGCCTGTAGCTCAGTTCGGCCTTGATCAGCCTTCTGAATTTCTTGTCCTACCTTGCGTCGTTCAAGCTCCTTTTGCTTCTCAGCCTAGATGGATAGAGGATAAAGCAAAGCATTTGGAATGTACACAAATATTTATTTTAAAAAATGATTCAAGATAAACTAGATGGAACTTCGACTGCGCGCAGTCGAAATGATGCCTCCGTCATAGAGCAATTTTACAAACCAAAACAGAAGAAATTGTTCAAATTCAAGTTCAATTGTAATCCATTAACAGGTTCTCAGAATATCGTGATTACAAGCAATTTCTCATATACATATATGACCCTTTGATCTTTGACCACATGACCCTAACATCTACTCAGTTCATTGGCTCTGCAAGATGTCCCGAGTTAAATAGTAATCCATCTGTCAGTTCTAATGAGAATGCGTTCACAAGCTATTTTTGCATACATAATGAGCCCATGACCTTTGACCTTTGACCTCATGACCCAAGAATCTACTCAGTTCATTGGCTCTGCAAGATACATACATGATCTAAGTTTGGGAGGAATCCATCAATCTGTTCTAATGATAATGCGATCACAAGCTATTTTTGCATGCATAATGAGCCACATGACCTTTGACCTTGACCTCATGACCCCAAAATTTAATCAGTTCATCGGCTCTGCAAGTAACATACATGGCCTAAGTTTGGCAGGAATCCATCAATCGGTTCTTGAGATAACGCGATCACGAGCTGTTTCAGCATACATAATGAGCCCTATGACCTTTGACCTTTGACCTCGTGACCCCAAAATCTAATCAGTTCATCGTCTCTGCAAGATACATACATGACCTAAGTTTGGCAGGAATCCATCAATCGGTTCTTCAGATAACGCGATCACGAGCTGTTTTTGCATACATAATGAGCCCTTTGACCTTTGACCTCGTGACCCCAAAATCTATTCAGTTCATCGGCTCTGCAAGATACATACAATCATACATTACCAAAGTTTGGCAGGAATCCATCAATCGGTTCTTCAGATAACGCGATCACAAGAACGGGACGTACGTACGTACGTACGGATGGACGGACAACCCGAAAACATAATGCCTCCGGCTACTTCGTAACGGAGGCATAAAAATTCCTGTCCTCACTGAGGTAGGAATATGTTAATAAGCAGTGTTACAGAACGTAATTGTATGTTTTCTTTATGAAAATTTGTCAACAATGCTGAATTTTCTTAGACTAGATTTTTGAATAAAATGAAATAAGTGAATGTTTTATTGAAATTTTTGTGCCAGATATTTACCCTCCCACTAACAAATAACCCTTTGAATAAATTAAAAACTCTGTTCCTCTGAAATGCGCTTGCATTTACATCATACTAATATTTTCTATCCATCCCTTTTACCTCTTTCCTCTGCTGTTCCTTCTTCCGATGAACCTCCTCCATCTTCTGTCTCATCCTGGCTGCTCTTTCTTGAGCACTCTCCTTCTGACTACCAGATGAGGATGATGAGGCTGCTGCAGATGATACCTGTTCATATGTGTACAAGGAATGTGAAATAAGTGATCTAAGATCCATCATCACATTGTGCCTAGCTGCTACATGTATTTAAAATAGATTTTCTTTTTCTTTTTTTTTCCATCTTTTTATTTTCAGACAGCTTATTGTTTGGGGCTTTGTATGCGCAATCCTCCAGTGACAGTGGCTCTGTGGACAATTTGTTATCCTAGTGGAATTCCTAGCTTGAACCCTGGACATGACACTACATCTAACTTTATAAGATGATGACGTGGATCCTAATCAAATGATTGGTTGAAAGAGTACACGTGACCAGGCATTTATTTTGCCTAACGCGTAATTTGGATAATGACCGGTCATTAGTAAAATCATGTTATAAAACAAATAAACCATAATCATATAAAACAAATAATACACATCATTTTGTTCAGGTATAAGTAAAATTACCCACACTCAGTACCTTCAAAACAGTTGAAACACCCTTGGCTACCGCCTCGGGCGTGTTAGACTGTTCCAAAGGTACGTTGTGAGAGTATTTCTTATTATAAGATGATGACGTGGATCCTAATCAAATGATTGGTTGAAAGCGTACACGTGACCAGGCATTTATCTTGCCTAACGCGTAATCGCGCGTAATTTGGGTAGTATAATAGTATAGTATAATAGTTTATTGTCCTTTTCAGGAAATTTGTTTTCCACTGGTTACAGAGTATTGCGATACAGATATATAAATGAAATATTACATGACAGTGATAAACATACACATATTATAAACATACAATAGATGAGGTAATATATATGTAAGCTACGGTATATATCGTCCCTGTTTTCACGAAGTGACGGTAGTGAGGAAAATCGCACATATTTTCACTTTTGATTTTTTTGCATTTTTGGACATCATTCACTAATACCTTGAACCTCACAAAATTTCAGATCATAATAATGTCTAATTATGTCACTATGACGATGACGTAAACAATAAAATACCTAGCAAAAGGATTTTCTGTTTTCACGAAGTGACGGCCAAGTACGCGCTTAACAGCCGTCAATTCGTGAAAACATCGCTTGCTCTTTTCCTGCTTTTAATGTTTTCACGAAGTGACGGTAGTGAAAATTTCGCAGTTTGGAACAGTCACAGACCATGAAAAGGTGAGTTTTTAATTTTTTTTTTTAGGTAAATTAATATGATACACTCTTTTGATTGATTCTGATTCTTTGTAAGCCATAAAAATATGTCCATGAGCACAGAAATGTGTGAAAAATACACCGCCGTTCCACATATCGCCCCATATACTTGTTTTCATGTAAGTGAATAAGGGAGTGAAGTATCATGTGATCCAAAACTAAAAAGATCAACTTATGTCTTAACAAATATACATCTAGACTAAATAAATTAGGTGGAGAGTCTTTCTTATTTAGCTCCACACCAAATATTAATGCTATAGATCTCTCCGGAGATCTCTAAGGTTCTTTTTATATCTGCTTAAGTTATAAATTTGAACAAAGTTTTACAGAAAGTTAGAAAATAGAATCTATTCTAGAGACCAGAGTTTTACTTTTATTTTTTCAGTAATTTACTATTTAGCTAATTATAAATTTGATTTAGAGTCTAGAAGTCTAGTTACTCTAGAATCATCATTTTATAATTATCAGTTTATGTCAGCCACTACTCATCGATCTAGAATCTAGAGATGAGTAGATCAGGATCTAGACCAGACTGAGACCTTTCTTGTAAGGCGTGCCTGGGGTTTAAGAAACTTCAGGGCTCCAAGCCCAAGGCCAACATCAACATTGCCAAGGGCAAAGGGAGTTTCGAAAATTGTCATCATGCGGAGTTGAGATGACCTGGGATGTAGCCCGTCCTGGTTAACTGTAAGGGAATTCAATGATTTGCCTTTCATGCAAAGAAGGACATGAATGAACATTTAATTAAAAATTGAAAATTAGATACGGTCCTGCCCTGAAAATGAGTAAATGGCACCATCCGAAAAAGGAATACTTTTGTTTTGAGACTGAAGTAATCATGAGTAGTCTACCCAGGGTATGTGAGTTAAAAACACCTCCCTGGTCTACCTTTTGGGGAACAATGTCCACATGTTTAGCTTAGTTTCTCTCATTATCTGTACTCTGTGTCTGTTATATTCAAAGGCAGCACTTTAGTACCCTTGGTCCCTCACCCTATACAAAAATTTGTTCAAACAATTGTTCTTGATACCAGCAAATGTTGCCCAACTCCACTTCATATTTTAAAGAATTTTCCAAGCAAGCACCATACCATACCAGATAGTGTACATGTCTCACTACACTTCAGTGGTAATGAAATTATGATGATGTTTTTGCTTTCACTTAGTTTCAGATGCAGTAGATACAATTTTCACTTGTATGAAGGAAGCACTGGGAAAGTACATCTACTTTTCAAGAATGCCACAGGCCAGAAAAAAATCCAGGTGAGAATAGTTTCATGATCTGTTCAAGAAAATCACACTTTAGCAGCAAAGTACTAAGCACACTCACTGCGTATGTGCATTGGGGTGGTTGTGTTTGGTAGGGACAATTGGAAAATTCTATTTTGGGGTAATAGGGGCAATTGAAAACTTCTGTTTGGGGTCAGTTATGCCGAGTAATTAATTTGATGTACAAAAGATAATATTGGATTCATTTCCTTACCTCTGCTTGCAAATAAATGAAAGAAAATAACTTGTAATTATTTCTTTCGTTCTACAAAATTAGATTGGATACGGGGACCGACATGCTGGTAAGATGGGTCCTTGATAATTCACTGAACACAGAGCTGCAGAATGTGACTTGGCATAGTGACCTAAGAGTGGGAGCGGTATGGAACCGTTGAAGCAATTCACTGAACACGTACAGTCAGAGCTGCATGTGTGACTTGGCATGGTGACCCTTAAAGTCTCCTGACGGCTCCGATTGCGATTCTGATGATGACCCATTGTCTATGCTTCTGAGCGAGTCAAAAGGTATCTTCTCTCCTTCTTGATTGTTTCCCAATAGTTAAAATTTTAGATATTCTTAATTGCTTTTAATGCTTAGGTCCCTTTGTTAAGGGAATGAGTGGTCCTATCGAGGTCAGCATCTAATTTTTTTTTAAATCCTTAACAAAAATTGCCAATACTAAGGTGATACCAAATTAAGTATTTAATTCATTAAGAGCCTCTCTAAAAGTTGGTACCAAAACTACACAAAATAATTTCGCCCAATCATAATGCACTGTAAAGTTTCCCTTTCATAATTGAAATTCTGATAATGGTTTTCTATTGATCGGTCTTTCTCTTATTTCATTTTGCTTTCACGCAGTCTAGATAAAGGATCTTCGCTGCTTCAACCACTATTGCTTGGGTGACATACGTGTGAAGAAATTTGAAGAACTGTTGTTGAAGAGCATGCTTGAGAAACTAGAATCAATTACATGATTGTTTTGACAATGCTTCAATGTTTCAATACCTCAATCTCTCTTTTATACTGTTTTATTTTAAACATTTGAAATATCATAAACAAAGCAACTCTACTCATAATTGTAATTGTGTGTTGTAATCGCAATGAAATGGATTGATTATACAAATCAATGAATTGATTTAAAGCAAACTGGTAACATTGTCCATGATTTCTGAAACAATGAACTGAATAGTTGTACAGGTGTCAGTTTTCTGTTACAGTATTGCAATGAACTCCTGCATACATAAATCTTTATTATTCAAATGTATAGCTCAGAAAAGCTATTTATCAGGTATACCTACCTCAATCAGTAATGCATATTAGAGTTTTCGGCTCCATGAATCCTCATATCGTATCTTTGTATTGAAGAATTTGTTTATCTATTTTCTTTAAATTTTTGTATTCACAGGGGTTGATGCCTTCATTAGAACATGAATATAAGTTACATTTCCACAATTGATTTTTCTTTCAAAACACAATGTTACTAGTTCACATTTAATGCTTTTATTTTTTACTTCTATAGTCATTCTCATCATAATTGTATTTGGTACTTCAAACTATCTTATAATCATACAATATAATGTTGCTGTTTTGAATTTTATCTGTTTGATGAGAAATGAAATTGTTTAGTGAAATTGATATTTCCATGTTTATCATGCATTGTTCAGCTGATAATTGTTTAGTCAGAGATTACGTGTTTGCCTGGGTGAAGACAACCTTTTAGCATGGGTAAACTTTGAAGCGTTTGAGACTGTTTACTAAATTTTATTGAAATACCCTAGAAAGAGATTGTGTAAACTGACTTGCTTCTGAAACTCTACTCACAAGATATTAATGAAAAACAGTAATGAACAAAAAAGTAATGATGATGATTATATTAGTCATATTTCCCATTGAAAAAACTGTGCCATCTTTTTTTTCAAGAACTGCCTCGTTTACGATCAAAATGTAAACCTTTCAGCCAGAACAGGATAACCATGGCGTGCAAGAAAGAGACTATACCACACAGTACTGTTTTGAATACCTCTTTTGTCTTCAGGTAAACAAATCTGTGCAGATGACCCTTTAAAAAAAAAGAGTTTATTTAGCAACCAGTATATTTCAGCATGCTAATGATGTAAAATTTCTTATTCATTTTGTTTTGGAATGGTATTTTGAATATAGATTTATTTCTTTGTTGACTTCATCATTCATGTAGTACATGTATGTCAAGCATTTTGTATGTCACATGTGGCATTTATTTGCTATGATTGCTGAATAAACATGATAACCAGGACATGTATGAAGAATAAGTTAAAGAGTGACATTTTAGCATATTTAGTACTGTATAATGTGCTAAATAACCTTTGTATTCCGTGGCTGTATACCTGATGGGTCATTTCCACAAATCCCTAAATGTACATTTCAAAATGCAATATAGTATTGATGATAATTGATGATGATATGTTTGGTATGAATTATTTAATATTTTTAATTTATTCTCCATTTGCCACTTGCTGTTCTGGTTCCAAATGTTTGAATTAAAACTGCTCAGTCGAAATTCATTTTCTGTGTTTATATTGCAGAGTTGAGTAGTTAACTACAGATTATGGTCAATGATCAATACTGAATCTTTTTCCTTCATTCAAAAATATTTCTTAACACATTTGCTTTATTTCCTATGTGAAAAAATATATTTAGCAAGGCCCCTCTCTAAAATTTTAGAAATTCTTCATAGTAATAGAGTAGCAAAAGCCCTAATATCACCCGCATGAATTTCAACAAGAAATGGCAGAATTTGTGTGATATTAAGAGGAGATGGAGGGGGTGAAGAGAGAGAGAGGGAGAGAGAGAGAGAGAGAGAGAGATAGGGAGACTAATTGAACGTGTTCTTAAGTGGAAAGTATATAGTAACTTTAGTGCAATCTTTAGTTCCTACTACATACAATATACCTGATAATTAAACCTCAAAGAATATTAAATACATATCCATTTTTAGCTTTAGATTAAAGAGAATAGCTTATTAATCATTTTAAAAGCACTTTGTGCCAATATCCATCTGTGCTATTGATAGTTAATTTATTGTGAGCCGTAGCTTCGTGAACAAAAACTGACATCATACATCTAACATCATAATTATACAAAGAAGAAAAGGTGCTCTTATTTTATCCATACATCTATTAAACAAATAATTTTACCGTATTTCAGTGTCTATCTCATGAAATTGCTTCACACAATAAAAATCCCATATGTTTTATACGCGCTCGGCTACGAGCCGTCACTTCGTGAAAACAAAATACAAGCGTTCTATATGATTTGTGTTTTCACGAAATGACGGTTAAGTTAAAAGTTCATACAGAGACATTCAGTTTATTCTTATCAATAAAAAAAAAACAGCTACCAAACGAGGAAAATGTACTCTATCTCTCAGTTCGCATTATTTTATCTGTACATCAATTAAACAAAACATAATGCCGTTTTTAGTGTCCATTTCGAGAATTCCATCCACAAGGGAAAAGTCCAATACGTTTTACGCGCGCGGCTACGTACCGTCACTTCGTGAAAACAAAATCAAAGCGTTCTATGCAATTTGTGTTTTCACGAAATGACGGATGTGTTAACAGTCCACACAGAGAAATGAAAAAGCAGCTACAGAAAGAGGAAAATGTACTCTTTCTCACAGTTCGAATTATTTTATCTGTACATCAATTAAACAAAACGTTTTGCCGTATTTAGTGTCCATTTCGAGAATTCCATCCACGAGAGAAAAATCCCATATGTTTTACGCGCGCGGCTACGTACCGTCACTTCGTGAAAACAAAATCACAGCGCGTCCTTGAATTTCGTGTTTTCACGAAGTGACGGTAATGTTTACAGCTCATTTCCTCAAAAAATATAAGAAATTATGGAAATATTTAAAGATAGAACTAAACATTGAGATATTTTCAATCCCAGGATATAAAATTTATTTGCCTTTGATAAATTACAGAGGTTGAGATTATGGCTCGAACCTTTGAAAGCGATTTATTCAAAACCAACTTTCTTTTAGTTGCGCGCTCTACCGTCACTTCGTGAAAACAGGGACGATATGGTGGTTAAAGAGGTAATATCAGATTCCATTTTACAAAATATGAAGCTGAATTATTTAATATCAATGATTATTTCATAGTAAATCTTAAAATGATAATAAATACATAAATCATTTTTATTGTCATTTGTATTATTGTTTTATTATTATTATTATTATTATTATTATTATTATTATTATCATTATTATTATTATTATTATTATCGATTACCATTTTGAGTATAATTATTACGGGCATCGTTTTTATTGTTAAGTTTATTGATGACACATAGATGGTGGTTACTGGCTCGAACGGTAATTGATAGTTGGATGCAATATTCATGGCATATATTTGAAATTTATATTATATTACATTTATATTAATACATTGACATGGTAAGTTCATAGTAATCAAACACGTTTTGCTTTGGAATTGAAAAGATGAATGGAGTCGGGGATAAAGGATCTTCGGAAACGTGCACGTTGAGTTCGTGGTGTGCACAGGCATATTCCAGATCTGTTATAATTGAAATGCTCATTCAGTGGGTGCGAGGGGTCATGCATTATTTGTTTTACTTTAGAGAGGGCATTTTTCTGATACAGATCTTCTATGGGTGTTAGATCGGCTCCTGTGATACGTTTTGCTGCCTTTCTGGGACGTTCGAGTAGTTTCTTGGCAACAATTTTAGCGTTTGCATAATAGCAAATTAGGTTGAAGGTTAGGACACTCTGAATTAGGGACTTAAAGAACAGTTCTATCAACTTACTATCTACTCTTAAGTTTTTCATTACCCTAATAAAGTATAGTCTCTGGTTGGCTTTCTTTTGGATGTCTACAATGTTCTTAGTCCAATCAAGTGACTTTGAGATAGTAGTACCTAAATACCTGTACTCTGTAACTTGTTCTACAGGAGAATCATTTATCAAAATCGGAGTATGATCGAAGGGGTTTCGACGAAAATCAATTATGATCTCTTTTGTTTTAGTTACGTTTAGTATTAGGGAGTGGTCATTGCACCATTTAACAAACTCATCTATGACCTTAACGTATGGGTCTGCATCTTCAGAAAGATAACCTGTGATGACAGTATCATCCGCATATTTGATGATGCTGCACTCTCCTACATTACATAGACAGTCACTTGTGTAGAGGGAGAAGAGCGCAGGGGAGATGACACAGCCCTGGGGCGCCCCTGTATTCACAATTCTTGGACAGGATAAGGCGTTTCCTAAGACCACTCTCTGTGGTCTGTCACTTAAGAAACTCTGTATCCACAGACTTAACTGGGGTGGGACTTCCATATCAATGAGTTTGTTTATCAGAAGGTGGGGAATAATAGTGTTGAAAGCACTAGAAAAATCCACGAAAGTGGATCTTACGTAGGTCTTAGCCTTGTCTAAATGGGCATATACCTTATGTAGGTATGTTAATGACCGGTCATTATCAAAATCATGTTAGAAAACACCATTTTATAAAACAAATAAAACATAATCTTATAAAACAAATAATACACATAATTTTGTTCGGGCATTAGTAAAATTACCCACAATTGGTACCGTCCAAACAGTCCAAACACCCTCGGCTATCGCCTCGGGCGTGTAAGATTGTTCCAAAGGTACCTTGTGAGGGTATTTCTTACTAATGCCCTCACTGCTGTCTATTATTTGTATACTAACTCTACATTTGCCTAAATACAGCCTGGAGCAGATGGTGCAGGATCAATGTTTGATCACTGGTTCCGTGTGTGGTATAATTATACAGTGTACTTCTGAAATAATATCATTTGGCATTTTCTCACACAAAATTAACTGGGAAGGCAGATCGCATTACTCACAAACTCTTATAACAAATAACAAGGAAGTATTTCATATTACATTCACAGTCTCGGAACATGACGATGGACTATAAATAACACTGTATCTGTCTAGAAAAAGAGGATGTGTTTCAATACACATCTTGGCAGAAATCCAGCACAATGTATCTGAAATCCTTGTTACAATTTGCTTATTCTGAGTAATTACAAGAATAAGGTCTAAACATGATCGCACAGATTTTCAAGAAATAAAGCAATTTGAATAGCTTATATTGCATAACATCAACATAATTCCTGTCTAGGCAATTCAATAGGATATTTGAAATAGGGCCTAATTTGAAATTTCCCTTGAGTTTATTCCTCATAAGTCTTTGCAATGGTGTTGAGGTACAAACCTCTGGTGTGCTACTTGGTTGCACAGGAGTGACTGCAGCAACTTGTGGTGCGGTGGCAGGTTGCTCAGCAGGTGGTGATGCAGACTGGGCCTGTTTCATTGTCTATAAATAACATACAATTATTACAAAATGAATGAAAAAAGGGGATTCTCATCTTTCAGTTCAAGAACTAATATTAGAAATGTAGCCCTCACTTCAATAAACGTGTTTACAAATGTACTTAACTGTAATTTATGGATGATTCTTACCCATTTGAACCCATCTATTTGAGATTGCATATTAAAGGTTTAAATATCTGTTATTCACCTTCTGAAACAGAAAGCATTCATATCGAGCAACCTTAGCCATAAAATAACTTGTTTACTCATGTATTCAAATGTGCACAATTTCTAACAATCTTAAAGTTTACCAATCACTTGAAAAAAATACTTGTATCTAGGTAAAATGTATAAAATACACATTTCAAAACATTTTTTGAAAAGATAATCTAAGCTGACATTACAGTATATAGGTAAACAGGTTAGGAGTATGAAGAAAATGAAGGATAAAGCAGAACCCAAGTCTGACTTGGGTTCCAAGCGCGCCCCATACTTTGCTAGTGCCCACGCGGGCATTAAGCAGTAAACAGTCAACTGGGAGTGTATCAAAGCTGCCATATATCCCTTTGTAGAAGAAATATTTGAAGCAAATAGTTTGACTGGAGTATATATACATGGAACCCTTTACTTCAAGATCAAGAGCAATACAATATTTTGGTGATTGATAGGGTACACTTGGCTTTTATGAATAAAATAATTGTGAGTGTCCCCATCCAATGTCAATAACTAATTTGTAAGAAATTAAATTAAGGGGGGGGGTTCAAATTATCATTGCTCCATCCAGGAACCAAACGTTACAGTTTCCTCTTAAATCTTGCTGCAAAAATAAGCCAGTAGAATAAAATATATTTTGCAAAGACATTAACTTGGCTTATTAAAGATGTTGAGACTTGTTTTATATTCTTACCTCATGGACTTTCTTGATTTTCTGCACTAAGTCTGAAGATGTAGCGAACCCTGCAATGCTCTCAATCAAAACTCCAGTCTCACCGGCGATGAGATAAACGCAGGGAACACAAATAACAGGATCTTGATGCAAGTATACAAGGTTAAGGAATTTGTTTCTTCAATATACATGTACCTCCAGCAAAAGCAAAATGATTATAAGCAGCCTTATTATTAGGAACATAGCTTCATGTTAAGCAAATATTAATATACTACGAGGGTAATGGTGCAAACTATCATCGCCGAGGTGATCTCGGGGCTACATGTACTATCTTCCCGAGCCGCAAGGCGAGGGAAGATGGTAGCCCCGAGATCACCGAGGCGATGATAGTTTGTATCCATTGCCCGAGTAAAGGAGGTTAATATTTGTTTTATATCCCACATCGGCAATAAGGTCTATTTAAAGTGAATTTTACATAATTGAAACAACTGATTTTGCAGACAGTTTAGCTTCAGCTAGATTTTACAAAGCACAACATGCGTACATGTAATAAAGTCGATGCGCGCTCATTTGACATTGACATTGACTTTGACATTTCGCGTAACCTACTTTGCTATGCTTATTCAATGCGCAAGTCGTGCAAGTGGGGCAGCAGCAAAAAATTCCTTTACAAAAAGACCTATCTCAGGTAGATAGTACTTATCTATACCTTTTTCGTGCTCTGTACAATCACAATGCAAACAACTATACATGAGGGATATAATATTTTATATCCCTCATGTATAGTTTTTTTGCATTGGGATTATTTGTACAGAGCACGAAAAAGGAATAATTTCACTATCGATTTTGAGAGAGTGAGAACATTTACTATTTGGAGTAGTATAGTAAATTCCGGAATCCACTTTTTCCACCGATCACCGATATTTCTGGGATTGATATCTAATTTTTTATTTTTGGGAGAGCAACGAGCGCGCAAGCTAAGTCTCCAGCATGAAGTTTCTGCAGTGCAGCCGGTAAAGTGCAGTGTGCAAAGCCATCGGGAGAGTTCTGGCGCGGCGTGCGCGTAGGATAGCGCATTGAGAAAAGCAGCTGGAAAAAACGTAGTTCGACAAATTGGCTACCGACTATCCCCGTTTTCACCTGTTAAATGTGGAAGAATTGTTGAAATTTAACGAAGGAATTGACAGCAGAAACACGCAGAAACAGATCAGGTACGGACTTTCTATGTTTCAGGATTTTTTCAAGGAAATAAAAGCCGATTTTGATGATGATGTTGTTGATAACGAAACGGTATAACGAAGCCCTAGACCTCCTTCACTCGCACTCGCAGTTCTACCTTATTATGCTGGAGCTCAGAATCAAAACGGTGAATACTAGAAAACAATGCAGGCTTTGTAATACTTTCTTTGTAAAAGTGAGCTGCTCATGAGGGATATAAAACAGATATACAATGGCTTTCTTGGCTCTAGCAAACTATGAGCATTCAGAGGCATAAATATTAACTTCTCCTCGAGACAAATTTATATCAAATTTACTATATCCTCAGGAAGCCTCAGGTATACTAAATTTGATATAAATTTACTCTCGGGAAAGTTACTATTTATGCTTCTTCATTAGCTCATAGTTTTTGCTAGACCCTCGAAAGGTATTGTATATTTGTATACTATACATCATATTTAACTTGTTTACTAAGAAGTTTTTAAAAGATCATAAAGAAAAGGCATAACTTTTCATCTACATCTAGTATAACAGGTCAATAATTTTTTAACCGTGATTGTCATCTGCTGATTCTAAATTCATGTTGAAGCTTTAATTGGCACAATATAGATTTAAAGGATACAATATACAGAAAACTGCTTGCACTCCTCACTGCAAAGAAAAACATTCATAAGACAAATATTAAACAATAAAATAGCAATTTGCACTCAAACATAAATACATTACTACCATTATAAGCAATTGATAGCCTGGTAGAATTTTGTTTTAATATATATGAAATGGTCTAAACTCTTTTTTATAAAGTTGAAAAAATACATCCTGAAGGATAATTTGAACATTAATAAATTTGCATTCACAATAATCTGATACAAAAAACAAACAAAAATAACAAAACCATGAGATTTGTTTATATATTTTGTTTACGGTTACCATGCATTACATTGAGCATAAGAGAGGGAGAGGAGATAATCTGGGAGAGTGGCATTTACATGTACTATGGATTCAACAGTTGGTAGAAAACATTTGATGGGAGTAAAAACTTCATGAGAGGCATACACTGTACCTATCTGCTTGGAGTCTCAGGACAACAATCCCTGCTTCTTGACAGCTTTTGTCTACAGTTTCTTCCTCCCACGTTGCATCCATTTTCTCTGAGTCCTCATTTGATCCTGTAAAATGTACGAAGGAGATATGTTAATAAATGGGCCATTGTAGGAGTGCCTTCATAATTTGTATATATGAGAAGGGTTTTTTTTTTCTCAAGTTGTGATCAATCAAACACAAATTGGCAACTCTGTGAATTATCTTTCAATGTCCTCCCCCATTCCCTCTGTACAGAAAGCTTCATTTACGGTAGAGGCACACAGATACATGTAGCAGAAATACAGGAGAGTATTTCTTATTTGGGAAACTGTCTCCAATCTCTAAGACTTTTGTCAAGAATTTTGATTGCCTATTAGGGAGACAGTCTCCCATTTGGAGAAAAAAATTCCCTTTATTTAAATGAAAATTTGCTAGACACAGAGAAGTTGGCTCAAAATATAAATATGATGAGCAGATTCCTCATGAAAAGTTACCCATATTGAGAATCTAATTTAAAAGTAACCATCTAATTTTGTTTTCATTTTTGTTTTTGTATGATCCACACACAAAAACAATGGGCTCCTTGGCTCCTTGCGCTTGCCTCGGAGTCAACAAATTGCCTTGGTGTTGATGTTTTTTTTTTTGTGTGTGTAATTTAAGTCTTCAATATGGGAGACAGTCTCTCAAAATCGGCTGTGCACCTCTACTGAAAAGAGCAGAACATGAGGTTGGATTAGTAAATCTTGAGCAAAATCTAATAAAAAATAAGGAAGTTATGAATGTTATAAGATGTAATCAACCTAAAACAAATAAGGAAGTTATGATTTTATTTTTTCCAAGTTGTAACTTGTAATCAATCTATAAAAAAATATCATGCACTTGAAGGAAGATGACGTTATTCATTGACAAATTTGACAGTAACACTAACAGTTTAAAATATGGCTGCAAGAATTTCAACACGGAGCTCAGTTTCGAAAAAGATCATTTGGAAAAAAGACCCTTAAACTCATCATACAGTCAATCTGGTAAGTGCAACCGATGCATAGTAGCCTAGGCCTAATATTCGAGAATAAATGTCTCTGATATGAATCCGCTAAAATTTAGTATTTTTGGCAGAGTTTGGTGACCAGATCTTGCCACCACAGTTTTCGCAGGAGACACAGTAAGGAGTAAGGTCGGCTTCTCTTCTGTCTACATTTCAAGAGCATGAAGAGAGAAGCCGACCCTACCCACTCCAGCAAAGCATAGAGAGTCAATGCTATTGCGTATTGACCTCTAGCACTGCATACATGCTGTGAGGCAGGGACCTAGAAGTCTATACACAAATATACACACCACACAATATCGCATAGACTGTACACAATCATGTCGAAGCAGCTGTAAGCAAAGTTTGACACCAGACTTACAATTTGAATTTTTAAATTATTCTTTTTAACATCAGTAAGTTGAAAAAAATGTATTTTACTGCTATTTAGGTGTCATCAATTATCACTAGAGTACCGATTTTTAGTGAAATCAGTCGAGTTTTGTACAGTGGTGTTTGAAATGTTGAGAATCAAAAGCACAGCTTTTACTACACAGCCAGGATAGTGATGCTCCTATGTGTGACCCTACCCAAATAATTAAGAGGCTAACGAACGAAAGAGACAGAAATTTTCGGTTTATAGGTATGGTTGCCAATTATTAACATGATTAAAGCCAAGGCTAGGTGATGTCAATATCATAATTCATGATCATGGCCATGATAGCCGCGCAGACCCTACAGCTACAACCGTTCTGCCCTGGTCCGGCGGCCGCAGGCAATGCCAACGGCATCATCATCGGTGGCCGCGCCGCGATCCCCGAGAAGGGTGACATTGCGAATTGAGTGACCCAAGCTTACCTCTAATGTAAACCATAAATACACTTCTCTGTTGTCTGGCCTGAGCAACGGCATTTGAAATTTGTCCTTCAAACCACTTCATGATGGTTTCCTGCTGTGGTTTGGTATGAGAAGAGCAAGTATTCGGTTGTTATCTTGTAATTTCTCTCAGAAAATCGGCATGAAATGACCAAAAGAACTAACGACACGTAAATAATAGAAGTGGATTAAGCCGTTTTCATTTAATCTTTTAATAATAAAATGAACGCCGGGCAAAAAATGAGAGTCGCAAGTTATGCCAAAACTGGGGATCATGATCAGCCTATATTGTAATTGTTTCCCATTCCCAATGGTAACTTGAAACGAAATGAATAGTAATCTATAAGTATAATGAACAGACTATATTAATACCCATATTGATTGCCTGCATAGGTGTGCAGAAGAAAAAAGTGCAGCCCCTAAATTTTTTCCAAATTTATATGTCAAAATTATGGATTCTGCTGATCTCAATAAGTCTAGTTGCAAGGTTTTTTTCATTACCTATTTATAATCTTTTGATTTTCAAAATGGTCCAAATAACGTAAATGTGACTTATTTTCACTTGAGCCATCATAAAATATTATATTGTCATTTAGAAATGCATGAAAACGGTCCAAGAGTGCCGCCCTGCCAGATGCCCTGTTGAAGAATTTCCCATTAAAAAAAAAATACAACTCTCCTTCTTTCTTGACTTTTTTGTTTGAAATTGTCTTCCAATTGTATGAAGTACAACACTTGTCTCTAATTCCCCCTTCAGTTAATGTAATGATAGGGCATCTCCGACCCCTGAAGTGATAAATGGCCATGGTAAGCTCCTTGGGTATGCATGAGTTAATACGTTATAATTAAGCCTGATTTTTGTTGTTGTAACTTTGACCTATCTGCTTAATAATTAAATTATTAGAGAAATAAGACGATTCGTTGTACTGTTTTCGACTCTTAAGCCTTGTCTAAATTCAGTTTACCCCTCCCGCGCAAAGCGCGGAAACTTTGACGTTTCATAACATTATTAGAGAAAGAAGACGATTCGTTGTACTGTTTTCGACTCTTAATCCTTGCTGGATGCAGTCAGTTTCCCTCCTTCTGCGCGAAGCGCGGAAGCTTTGATGTTTCATTAAATTATAAGAGAAAGAAGACGATTCGTTGTACCGACTCTTAATCACTCTGTCTGAATTTTCTAAAATGTTTTCTTTGACCGATAAAAATTCATAGTTCGTAGGGGGGGGGGGGAATATTGCCGGCCGACCGACATATTACATCTCACCGACTTCAAACTTCTGCATTAAAAAAAAAGTACACGACTCAACACGAGGATCGAGCAAGAATTCCGACACAGCGGACCCGACACAGCAACATAATTATCTATATATGCGTATCTTTCTTGCCCCATCGACGCGGTGACTCCACCCCCCTCTCTCTTACTCACATCCCTCTTCTCTCAGGCCCTTACCCCCTCCCTCTCTCTCCTCTCCTTAATCTCCCGTTTCTTTTGACAAAAGAAACGGGAGATTCTTCCTTTTCTTTACTTTCTTTCCTTTCCTTTGTTTCCTCTCCTTCCTCTTTTTCTTTTTTCTTATTCTTTCTTCTCTTCTCTATCCTTCCTTTCCCTTTCTTTTTTCCTATTTTTCTTTCCCTTTTATTTTCACCTCCCCATTTTCCCGACAGCAGCGCAATTTTACCGACAAAAAGGTGGAGGGGGGGGGGTGTCGCACCGTCCACACCCCCTTTAGAGACGCCCCTGGTTGTTATCCCCATTATTCTTTTTAAAGAAATACGGATTCCTCTTGCTCTCCCACCTCTCTTCTATTGTTGTTTAATGTTCTATTTCATTTTTTCCTTTCACCTTTAACTTACAAAAATTCTCTCTTTCCCCCTCTTTCATCTATTCTCTATGTTCTTCATTTTTTTTTGTTGGGGGGGGGGGGGGGCTACACGCCTGCAAGAGGGACCCCATATTATGCACACTGCAAAAATGCGTGCCCCCGCCCCTTTCCCGGTAAAAACTTCTTTCTTTCTTTTTTTTCCCTCCTCATTATTCTCTTTTCCCCCTTTCTTCTTTTTCCGCCTTTTGTCTCCTCTCTCTTCCCCCTTTCTTCCTGTTCCCCCTCATTTCTCCTCTCATCTTTTCTTTCCTCCCTCTTTTCTTCTTCTTTCTCCCTTCTCTTTTCTTCTTCTTTCTCCCTTCTCTTTTCTTTCTTTTTCCCCTACTTTTTCTCTTTTTTTTTTTACCGGGGGGGGGCACGTTCCCCCTGTGCCCCCTGAATCCGCCACCGTTTTCTGAGGTGCAAAAGAGTGCTTAAGGAAATACATGGTCTAGGACCATAATAGGTAGAATGTTCATAAAATTGAATAAAAACCCAAACGTCTTTAATCGAGGTTAATATGAATGATACACAATCCATTAAAAGCCGCACCTGTCTGGGGTCGGGATTAATGCATTGGCCACTGCATGCATGCGCTAAGGCTAAGCCGCTATGCACACACAATATATCACATATCGGGACATGGATTGTTCGATCAAGAAGCAATCAGTTAGGCCTACTAGTTAGCTCAACTCACACAGTCACACAGTAGGCTAGCACTAGCAGATTAACAGGTGAGATTCTTGCTGTGAGTTCAACATTTCCTTAAATTTCTTAATGTAGTTTACAGACCTGATATTGTTCTACTTTGAATGTTAATGATTATGGTGACCAGATCAGAATCTGGACAATTATTTAATCTACCACGCAAGTATTTTATAAAACTATTTTTTTTAGATCTAGATCTAGATGTAACTTAGATTCTAACGTTAGATCTAGATCTAGCTAAATCTGAGACTGAATTTTCTGTCTCTTTCGTTCGTTAAGCCTCTTATTTGGGTAGGGTCGGTTCTCTCTTTAGAGAGAGAGTCGACCCTACACAAATAGTCTAGACGGAAAATTCGGTCTAGCTAAAATTAAAATCTTAGACCGAATTTTTCTGTCTCTTTCGTTCGTTGGCCTCTCTCTCGAGACGACCCTACCCAAATCAGAGGCTAACGAACGAAAGAGACAAAAAAATTCGGTCTAGTTAAATGTAGGCCTAGACGATCTAGATCTAGTCTAGACCAATATTCTAGCTCCTCTGACCGCCTCTAAATCTATTAATCTAGCAAACCAATCGTAGTCATTTCCAGTGGCAGTACAGACTAGATCTAGGTCTAGATCTAGACTCTATATGGGGAATGTCAACAAATGTCAGTTTAATTAAAGACCCATACCAGACGGTTAATTCTGTCTAGATCTATGCTAACTAGATTCTATACTAATTATTACTTAAAACTAGAATTTACAAAAACTATTTCCTGTCGTGCATTGTGTGTCTGCATGCATGTTTGCGGCTGTGCTAGACCGAAAATTTCTGTCTCTTTCGTTCGTTAGCCTTTTATTTGGGTAGGGTCTGCTCCTCTACCCTAAGTAAGAGTATGAGTAAGAGGCTAATTACGAAACAAAGAGACAGACATTTTTGGTCAATGACTGCATGCTTCAACATTTAAGTCTAACATCGAGATCTATAATTCTAAATTAGTCAATTAGAGCCTTAAAAATAATCTATTTTATACACAGATGTTGTGACTAGCTTTAGGCCTGACAGCTAGGTACATGTAGGTAGATCTAATTGTGTTTTCTATACTTGGGTCTAGACATCTAGACTAGTGTAAATAAAGTATTTCTTGTTATATTTACTCAATTACTGTGCAAGGTGTTGTAACATGGAGTATTAGGCGAAATCATTTTAATTTTCATGTTTAGCATCCACGCCCACTTTATTTTCTGTGGTCACCTGCTTTTTTATATTTGTTAATAATACAAAAATTTAAAAAGATGGCAGCCATCTTGAAAAATAGCCTGAAAAAAAAAGGGCCGCCTTCCTTTTTGAAAAAGGCAGTTCGCTAAAACATTTTTTTGTGTGTGCCTTTTATGAGAGAAAGCAAGATTAAATGTAAAAATACATGTCTGACTGTATTCCAACACAGGAAATGATAGAGTAAAAGATGGAAGAAGTATAGGTCTAGTGACACATAAAAATACAGAAATAAAAGATGAAAGAAGGATAAAAATAAATGACATCAAAGGAAAGGAAGATAATTGTTAAAAGAAGAGAATGGAGAAATACCAAGGGAATAAGGAAAGATTAGGCTTAAAGGAGAAGAAAATAAGGAAAGATATATAATATAATAGGAAGAAAAGAAATACATATAAACTGTAGGAAAAGTTGAAGAAGAAATGAAGTATAAAAACAAATAATGTAGAATGGAAGAAGAAAACGCTAAATAGGATTTAACACAAAAGTGACATGAGGAAAGACCGAAAGAAATGATCAAATAATAAAAATAACGAATCACAAGGAAATGATAGAAGAAACAATGAAAAGAGGGGAAAAAGAGTTGTACTAAAAAATTCATAGAAGATAGAAAAAGGACTCAATATGGGCTTTGGACGTGTAATTTGCATCACTGATAGTGATGGGCCTAGGTGTTAAGCTAGTATTTCAACTAAATTATGTGCACTAAACAAAGTTTACTCATTTGAATCTGCCAACTTTTTATTTATGTTGTTAAAGGAACTCTTTACAAAAAATTAAACCCCCACCCCTCCCCACTTTCCATTTTGAGATTCTGAATAATGCAATCAATTCAAGTAATGGCATCTGCCTACTGTATACATGTAATTTTAGACCATGCATATGATCTTTAACACACCACTATAGGAAACTTCCAAGGAAGTGCATGTTATCCAGATGGCCTTCTTTCTTTATACATGTTCACTGTAACACTGTCAAACCAATCTGTCTTAAAGACCACTGCAGGAAGACAGCTGTCTCTGTAGGCATGTTGTCTTCTGGAGCCCGACCTGTTCATGTTAATGCAGGTTTCAATGAGAATGTATGTGTTTCAGGGGAAACAACAACAAAATGCTATTTTGTTAATGTAGTCTTTATGGACAGGCGATCTTTCTGCATGTACACTGTATACCTGTACATGTACTGTACGTGCAGAGACGCCAAGTTCAAAGATCGGCAATGCGTGACATTTTCATGATTCGGAACGCGAGTGCGCGTGCGAGGGTATAACACATGTATAAGGTATAGCATTTTTTCAAAATCTAGCGCGCGCGTCGTGCGTAAGAGAATTTTGAGACCATGGAAATGCGTGATGTCACGCCTAATGCATGATACTTGGTAGCTCTGTACATGTCCAGTTTGTGTTCAGTTAAGTAAAGTGACATGAAGATAAAATTGTGAGAAAGGTTTTTTTGTTATTCCTAACTTTTTCTTATTCATATTCTTATTTCTTATATCTCTTTGGAGTGACTTTGCTTTTTGTCAACCAAATTGTTAAAAGGCACCTGTTGATGAAATAACTCCTTCCTTTCCTTTTAAATTTCTTTTGTAGACTAACTTTACCATTTGTTTATTTGTTCTTGTAAAGGACTGCTTCCAGTGCATTACGTCATTTGTGTGACTCGCCGCCACCGGCCATGTGCACAGAGTAAACCAGCGGTGAAGCAGGAAGGAAACCATCAACAATAATTTCCAGAGCCCTTGTTTTCCAACAGACGCTCATGTGATCATTTTAAATGGTCTTTAGAACCACCAGTCTTTTGTAGTGCTCAGTCGTACATGAATACATGCACTGGGACTAAAGAGCTCTGCATTCTGCATCTACAGGGATGTCCATAAACACTGTAAGTACATCAATCTAGATTCTACCTTTTTCTAGTTTTGGGGATTTTAAAGGAATAATCATTCAATATACCTTTGTTTATAGGGGTCAGTAATTTATGGAGAATATTATATTCATGTATGCATGTCCTCTTGGAAATAGGAATTATAACATGTATCATGTATGCAGCCTGAATAGACACTCCACATGCACTAAAAATATCTTTTCAGTTGTGATTTATTTGTATTATATTGTTTTGTAATTGATATGAGCACATATTCATGTGCATGGATTCTTTTCTGTAATTGATATACGGAAGTATCATGTTCAGCATGCACGGTTGAGTGGATTGCAATGGTACATTTGGGTTATGGCTGCTATTAATAAAGAGAGTTACATGTACATGTGCACGGCTCATTAATTGAATTATCGTACAGCATAATATGAATGTTTAATAGTTTAACTGAATGGGACAGGAATTTGTGCATGTAAAAGTAATGGTCTAGGTATTGGTCATCTTGTATTCATTAAACAATTATATTCATTTAAACAAATGTACAGATACAGTGCATCAACGTGGAGGCTTTTTTCAGGAAATAAATTCCTAGGCTTCGGTGATACAAATAGTCCCATTGTATTTGTGATGTAATATGTGTTTTCCCTCCACTCACACACAGTCTGGTAATCGTCCTATGCTTGATGTTGCAGCTCCTTCAAACAATGCAAGTTGCATCTTATTCTTCCTACAGTACTTCATTGCTTTCCTTTCCATTCCATCCATATCAAACTAACTACGTACATGTAATACAGGAATATGGTGTGTCTTGTGTGCAATACTAACATTAAATGTATTACCGGAGTGTTGGCTCAGTCAGTAGAGCGTCCGCCGCACAACCGGGAGGTCGTGGGTTCGAACCCCGGCCGCGTCATACCAAAAGACGTTAAAAGATGGGAGTTGTTGCTACCTTGTTAGGCGTTCAACAGTAAGGGATAGAGCAACGTCGATCTGGCGCTGCTCAGTGGCTGCCGGGCTCACGATCAATTGGGCAAAAAGAATTTCCGTTTCGGTTTAATAAAATTTGGAGTGGACTATTAGGCTATCATTATTATCATTATTATTATTATTATTAATTTGCATGTACAATTTACATGTCAATGTATTAATTAGCAACTTGATAGTCAGGATCTTGAAATTTCGTAATAGCGATTGAAGTGATTTAGGGGAATCTTTATTCTGCCAGATGAAAACAAAAACCTATAAAGCAGTGTGTCTCTAAACTTAAAGGGATCCGGTAACTTTGTCTCAGATTCTGAAACAAAATCCTGGATTTAGCTCATGCTGCAATGATAATTATAAACCTTTAGGTCAGTCAGGAACCCCGTGACCTTTCCAAGCCATCGCCTGTCTGATTATCAAGATATTTATTATTGGAAATCAAAACCAAATTTTGTGGTTTGCCTGTCTGATTATCAAGATATTTATGATTGGAAATCAAAACCAAATTTTGCGGTTTCTTAACGGGGTTTTTCATAACACTACAGTCTCAGACACTGATAACACTAGGGCCATGCATCTCAGATTTAACATTGTTTAAGAAACAATGCCTTTAAGGGAAGTCCAACCCTATAACAGCAAACTACTCTAAAAGAAAGTAGAAAAATCAGAGAAGCAGACTGGTGAAAGTTTGAACGAAAAGAACGAAATTGTTGTAAAGTTATCAAACGTAAGTTATCTGCGACTACATCGCAATCCAGTAACCAGATTGGCTGATTTGAGATTCGCATATACCGGTAGCTTTAGTGATCTCATATTTCAAACACCCATTACTGTCTTATTATTGGTCCGATTTATTTCAATGTTTCGCCATTCTGTTCCTCTTATTCTTCTGCTTTATACGAACGAAATTATTACAGAGGTCGGATTGCCCTTCAAAAACCAACCCATTGCCTACAGGTTACAGTAACTTAGTGGCTGGAGCTCTGTATTAAGCCTTTAGAGATGGGAGAATTCAGTAGCCTAAACAAGGGCTCCATGCCAACAGGTGCCCAGGACACATGGGTGCCCTAAATGTCAGTTTGGACCCCCAAAATTATTTTAAAAATACGCAGATCTCGTGCATATATATATATATATATATATTCTAAAAAGTTGAATCTGGACTCCCTTCCTCAAAAGTTAGTGTAGAGCCATGCCTTAGGTTAAATTAAGAGTTAAATATTTTGTTTTGTTTTATATTGTAGAAAAAGAATAAGTCTGAAATATGTATTGCTTATAAGGCATGAAACCATAGTCATGTGACATGAAGAGATGATGTATTTTTGTTAGCCTGAAGTGTTGTACAACTTTATGTTTTGTGGAAAAAAGAAATTCTACATTACTGTTTCTCCAACTGAATTACGTATACATTATATATTTTTAAGGATGGTTGAAGCATTTCATAATTTCAATAAGGTTTGCTTACTAAAAACTTGCAGTGTATATACAGGTGTATGAGACATTAAAAACTAGAGCAAGCAAGACTATTTGCTAATAAAGATATTTATAAAAGAAAAATCTCCCATTTGTGAGTTGACATTGATTTTGGTGTCATGCCTACTGTAATATGACTATGATTCATAATAACATACATTTTTCTTTCATATTTGATGCTGAAATTGAGTGACCAAAATTTCCAGGAACATCCAATTTTGTTGGTTTCTGTTTTGTTTTTGTTTGTTTGTTGAAAGACTAATGAATGATCATGACTGAATAATAATTTATAGTACATGACTACATGTACGCCTTTAAAGCTCCTATTATGGATTTGCAAGTCCTCAAAAACTTATAAATCTAAATATGTATTTGTAGCAGCAAGATGAGTTTATTATCAAATAATCAAAAGTATGTGCACAATTTCAGATCAACAGACAAGCTTTCTCTCTGTGAGTGATAATTGAAGCCCTCATTTTGTACATAACAAATGGGGTGAATAAAACACCGACAGTTGCAAAATTCAAAGTTGAAAGGAAACGTGACTGCATAATAATGAATATTTTGCCACCATGTATGAAAGTTTTCATTTATGATATTTTTTAAACAACATTTGGTCCCTCTTTACAAGTTTTGATATTTTCACCTTGCAAATCACTGCCATGCCCATTAAAGCCAGACACAAAAGTTGTTGATTTTGAGATACCGTAATTTTTTTCAAAATCATAGGCGACCTTTGCCTCTTAAATCTGATCCTTGCTGGAGTATTGACAAAAGAAGATAGATCAGCATGACTGTCCAATTAATTATATCATATGCTATAATTAACAAAGTTCATTGACACAATGTACATGTACTACACATGTACAAAAACATTTACATCTATAATTCACCAAAATGAAAGCATGGGACATTGCATGAATATTTTGAGGTGAAGGTTTCTGTTAGGGGCAGATATCAGTTTCAAATGGAAACTGCTAGAAAATTCAAAAAAAGAATTTTGATAGAGAAAATATTCAATTCAGACACAAGAAAAGAAAGATGGATTTGGTGATTGTGTAATGTTGGAACTGACTAACTTGCTCTAGTAGTAGTGAGCTTGTCAAATGTTTACTTATCCATAAAGTGCTGCACAGATTGTCTTTTGTATTTTTACCTCATTTTTAGTTTAAGTTTAAGTTCAAGTGACCAAGCACTTGATATTAATGTAGTTTCTATTTGCATTCAACAGTTCATAAGCTTCTGCTTTTAATTACTCCCATTTCCTTCTGCAAGTTCTGTTATTACTACATTTATATACTTGGAATTTGTAGATAGAGTTTGGCCAACTTGGTTTCAGTTGGATACAACGTGGCATCAAATCTTTTGTTTTGGGCTTGCCAAACAAAGCAGTATTCGCCAACTGTGCCCAATTCTAACCAGATAGGCCAAGCTCTCCTATCCAGTGGCACTAGGGCTAATCAGACAATCGACTAAATATGAATTAAAAATACCCTAAATAATCTCAAGCAATTTGAAAGTTTTAATAAACTTTTGGATGATTCACCAAATGTGCCCAAATTATAAGCAGATAGGCCAAGCTCTCATACATGTAGTCAATAGGGACTTTTAGATTTGCGTGGACTGATACGTGTGGCGTCCATTCAAGGCAGTGCATTAAAAGGACGTCGACCGTAGCAATCCACATTGTCTTCGTGCAAATCTAAAAGTCCCTAATGGCACTTAGGCTAAACAGACAATTGACTAGAGATGAAGTACAAATACCCTTAATAAACCCAAGCAATTTTATAGTTTGAATGAACTTATAGTCTTTTAGATAAAAACATTTCACCTTGGAGGAGGAGGGATCATGGACTTTGGATGTCTTGTACAAAAACAAATAACACACTTCATGCTGACTTGCTCGATGCATGAACAAAGTTCAGCCTGGCTGAAAGCTCCAAATCAGCTCTAAAAAAAAAAATCCTGTACGCACTGCAGTTCATTTCAAAGATACACATATTGTATGTTAGGTCTACATCATACATGCCTTGATTGGATTATTATTGTGCATATTCATCTGTTATTGAAATTCATGTAAAATGTAGGCCTGTTTTGTAGTTGCAAATGGCCCAACTTCCTCATGGACATGCTGTAAGTATTTAATCATTCAGTAACAATTTCCTTTGTATTTCATTTCCTTGTGTATGTAGTAATACTATGATGATGATGTAGTGTTTCTATCATAAAGGGATTAATGCATTATGTTTCTTTCATTTTTATATTAACCCAATCCTCATCTGTTAGTTTAAAAGTATATTCTGTGTGATGTTGCTGTTGTTTCATTCATATTATCCTTCATATAACTATGTTTGATTTATAAAAAAACATTCTGCTAACATGAATAATGCTTCTCATGTCTCACCTTCTTAATATTAAATTTGTTTCTACATGAATGTAGTATATTAGAAGACATACCTTGAAAATTGTTACTTTAGTTGTAATGATTTACATGTACATGGAACATTTGCGATGACTGAAGATGTGCAATATGTAATTAGTGAAGCTTTAAAACAAATTAATGGTCAGAATTGACTTGGTGACCATGATCTTGCATGAACTTGAACAGTATTGAACTATAAACAGTAAGCTCTCCCTTTTGCTTCATATATCATGTCTTATTTCCCTTAATTCACTCAAATGAAATCATTACATCATTGACATGCATTGACCTTTTGACCTTATGATGTTATTATCACACAGTACATCATGCCGAGGGGGGATGAGGAGAGAGAGCGGGAAGCTCGGGCTGCCGCTCAACTGATATACAGCAATGCCTCCAACGATTCTCCTATCATCCGATCACCCACGCAGGCCAATGGAACTCACCCACCAATCTCGGAGAATCAGTTACCCTCAGTGCAAACCAGCTTCTCTGCAGTTCGCAGGGTCTTCTGCCTACTTGCGACCTTTGACCTGTTGCTGACAGCTGTTCTGTGGTTTATATTCATCCAGGTTAGTAAAATGGGAACAGCGGCAAACACCCTACCACACAAGTTACCCTAACAACACTGACCTTGATTCTAGGTCCCTAACCCAACCCCTTCACCTTAACCTTAACACGAACCCTAACCGCAACCCCAACTCACCCTAAAACCTAGTAACCATAACCTTTACCCAAACCATAACCGTAACCATAACCCTTACCCTCACATCAGTTAGTAAACCAAACAGATGCATGTCAGGGTATTCTGCACTTAAGCAATCAAACTTTTACTAGGGAATTTTAGAGGAAAGAACAGAAATTGTTATTTTCTTTTGATATGAGTTTGTATGAAATAAGTCCCTCTAGTGATGAACAATCAAAATTCATTTACCAACTTCATAAATAGAAGTATCGGAGGTGAGGAAAAGATTGAATATATGTCTTGCATAATGATATATGAATGTATGGTACTGTAAAGAATAATCCTCCTATTTCCCATTTCACAGCTTGTTGGTCTTGGGGTGAAAGATGGCTTTTCCTGTCAAATCCAGAAGTATGACTTCCACTATTCGTTGTTTGACATTGTTGCCATGGCCTTCTTCCGTTTTGCTGTTCTCCTCCTTGCGTATGCCCTCTTCAAGAGCAAGCACTGGATCTTTGCTGCAGTAAGATCTCATTTTCTCATTTTTTACACAGGGGAGACTGGGTTAGTGGCTCTTTCACGCATGATGCAGGAAACCAAGGTGGGGTTTTATGTGTAAATGAATAGCAGGTGGGGATGAAAAGCATGTTACCCCAACATGTATGTTATCATAAAAAAGAGGGGAATGCTGTGGTGTATGCCGTCATATGTGAAAGAGCCTTAAAGGGATCTGGTAACTTTGTCTCAGATTCTGAAACAAAATCCTGGATTTAGCTCATGCTGCAGTGATTATTATAAACCTTTAGGTCAGTCAGGAACTCCATAACTTTTACAAGCCGATCGCCTGTCTGATTATCAAGATATTAAAGATTGGAATTACAAATTTTGAAAATCGTTCACCAAACGGTTTTCATAACACTACAGTCTATTGGGGAAAACGAGTGTGGTAAAACCAGTCACTCAAAGATTTTTACTCTTTTGAGGCACTTCTTGATCATTTTGAAGCGTGATTTTTTTTTTTAGGTCTTCAATATTACACCATATCACAGACACTGGTAACACGTAGGGCCGTGCATCTCAGATTTAACATTGTTAAAAGATGCCTTTAATTGTTACCCTGATCAATTTGATTATAGCTTTGTCTTTGAGATATTCATCCTGTGCATTAAAAGCTGACATTTCTCCCCCACTAAATCTGGAATATCAGCCTTTTATACTTGAATTTGTGGGGGAGGGTGGGGGGGGGGGGGGTGCAAGGGACCACATTTTGTAACCTGAAAGTATTATAACTACAGATACTCTTGTGTGACCCACTTTATCAAAGAGCATTTGGCCTTTGTTGTGCTTATCTTGTCTGCCACACTGCACATATACCATTTACATGTACAAGCACTTTGTTTAATACAGACATCAGTATGTGTCTCCTTTCTATGACCATCTTTGTTTAGGTTAGGAACACATGGAAATTTCTGATCACTTTGATCACTTTACCCCTTTTCTTGAGCATTTTGACCAGAAGTAAGGTGTGACCTGAAAGAAAAAGGAAAAATTTCAGTTATTTTGTCCTGCAAAATGTATGTTCCTATCCAATCAATGATTAAGATGTTTTATTCCCTCCCTATATTTCTAGATAACAACAACTGCTACCACTGGATTAATAGTGGCCAAGATTTTCCTGTACTCATTAACGGTAAGAATTTATGTTTTAGGTTACTGTCCAGGTGATTATCTTTGCATGAATGTTAAAGGTAGTGTATTCTTTTTGCAGGAATTATGAATATATAAAGTACCGGTATGTCCTATCTGTGAAGTTTAAACGTTAGCAGTGTCCTAGTATTCCAATAATGCAAGGAAACCGGTTTACTTTCTAGACTTCACTGTCAGACACTATCGAGCGACTGACTGACTTCTTTTTTTATTTGGTAATCACATACATAAAATGAGCTGTAAAAAGTACATGAGCATTTGTCTACATCAATATTTGCACACCACAAAATGTACAACCATTCGGTACAACGGTATGAAAATCAGACTATTTAATTAAACGACCACAATCGCTAAATTCGATTCGAGAACTAGCAGTCATTATTTTTCCACAAAAAAGCTCTTTTGCTTTGGGGGAAGTTCTAAATTAGTATGATCTTTCCTAGTGCTGTAAGTCAGACGCTATGTTCGTGTTCGGTTCGGTTCGGCAGAGTTCGGCAATTTTTCACCCGAACTTGGTTCGGTTCGGGGTTCGGTAATATAATAGCGAGCAGCGTTATAGCCACGGCGGTTGGCACTGGGCGGGCCGGCTAGCCTGCCGGGCCCGACCAGCACGGAGGACTTTTGCACACTGCTTCCGACCAGCACGAATTTCACATTCAAAAACTGCTCTAAACGTAATTATTTGTGAAGAAAAGTACTACTTAAATTCGCATTTCCGTCTTGAATCGTGTTTTATTTTCAATTTTAAAAGAATCATGTTTTCAATTTGTCGATAAATGATATTTTTTAAAGATTTTCCGAGACGGTTGTTGTCTAATCATTGCTAATGTTAGAGTCATGAAAAATGCCATCTTGAATAGCAAATCAGGCTCATCAATAACTGTTTTTTATAAGTTTTTATTTTCAATAGGAAAAATATAAAATCCCTATTTTTCCTGAATAAATAAATACTATAATATATATTTACTAGCAGGACCCGCGGAAATCCGCGGGATTCTAGAGGGGGGCGGGGGTGTAAATAGATATATAGAGATCGTCAAGAACTTTATTTGCCATTCAGGCCATTAAAAAAATATACATGTTTAGTGTCCCCGCCCGCTTCCTTTTTGGGGGCCGCCTCTTATTTTTTTTTTGTTGAATTTTGAGAGAGAGAGAGAGAAAAAAAAACAGCGTCCCCATTTGCTTCCTTTTTGGGGGCCGCCTCCTATTTTTTTTTTTTTTTTTTTTTTTTTTTTTGAAAGAAAAAAAACATGAAGAGCACTGCTAAAATTTCTGATTTAAAAAAAAAAAAAAAAAAAAAAAAAATTGTCGGCCGCCATCTTGAAAAATAGCCCGAATGTCAGGGAAAATGTACGGAGAGCCATTTTGAAAGAAAAAAAAGAAGAAAAAGGGCCTCCTCCTTCCCATTTTTCGAAAAACAGGACGCTAAACATGTTTTTGTCTCGCCTGCGTAGCAAAAAGCGAGACATAGGCGCCGCTTTTCCGGTGACGGCGGCGGCGACGGCGACGGCGACGGCGACGGCGACGGCGACGGCGTCAACATCAAAAACTTAACCTAAGGTTAAGTTTTTGAATTTTTGGTATAATTTTTAAAGTATAAGTTCTTAGTCAATTAAACTTTGACTATAGGGTAATCAAGTATCCCCAATCATGTGAGTAGAATTTCAGATCACAAAGTCAAGGTCAAAGGTCATTTCAGGTCAACAGACTTGGACTATGTTGTAGCATCATCATCGAAAACTTAACCTAAGGTTAAGTTTTTGAATTTTTGATATAATTTTGAAAGTATAAGTTCTTAGTCAATGAAACTTGGACTATAGGGTTATCAAGTCTCCCCAATCATGTGAGTAGAATTTCAGGTCACTAAGTTAAGGTCAAAGGCCATTTAAGGTCAACAAACTTAGACTTTGTTGTGGCATCAACATTAAGATTTTCAAAATGCTTCTTCTTCGTTATTTTTCAACCGATTTTGATTCTGATTGTTTCATATGATAGGGCTAGGAGGGAATTTAAAATTTCTTCACAGAATCTTGAAATTCATTATCTATGCTAATTTATGCAAATTTATTCGAAATCACAAAAAAGGCTTCTTCTCCTTCATTTCTCGACCGATTTTGATTTGGTTTGCTTTATATATCGTAGAGCTAACTTTGGTACACTAAACTTCTACACCAAATTTTGAAATTGTTCTCCATTAATTAATAATGATAATTTATGCAAATTTATTCCAAAAATAACAAAAATTGCTTCTTTTCCCTCATTTCTTGACCGATTTTGCCTTATCTGGTAGAGCTAAATTTGGAACAATAAACTTCTACACAGAATTGTGAGATTTTGCTCCATTGATTATTTATGGTACTTTATGCAAATGAAATGAAATTATATCCCTTCCAGGGCATCAAATTTCTATTTTTTGACCAGTTCAAAAGTGTACCACATAAAATTTACGATATTTGTTGTTGTGAGATGCGGATGAGCGCTACGTCAATGACGTTCTGGTTTATCATATTGAATTGCGTTATGCAGGCGAGACCGCCGAGAGCGTTTCCCTTGTTTTAAAATTTAGCCTTATATAAAAAAAAAAAAAACGATCCAACTGTACCGGTAGTTATTCTTTAAGCCACTGGAACTGCGTAGAGTTCCGTAGTGTGGCGTACCGACTACGCAGAAATTAGGCTGCGTATTAATGGGAAAATTGTCCCTGTGTAGGTTATGCGTAAGCTGGCGTACAGGTTTGCTTATGGTTGCTTACTGGAAAGCTTTTACTGCTTTGTCGATCTGGCGTAGGGTATAGTTTACTGTTGCGTAGTCATGTAGCGTAGTGTTGCGTAAACAGGCGTACTTTCTGCGTCAAGTTTCTACGTCGAAAGTACGCGAAAAAAATTAAACATGTTGAATTGTTTTCGTTCATCTTGCGTACCCCTTCCCGTCCCTCAGCATATAGTAACGTAGGCCAGCGAAGTTGGTACGCAACACTACGCAACTCTACGTATTAACCCCACGCCAATTAGTGACCCGCAAGTGTCACAAATAAAGTATTAAAAATATGCTCATCTGACCCTAATTAAACGCCTAAACCCCCCCGAGCTTTCGGGGGTTTATGGCCCCTTGAAACCCGTGGACCCCACGCCTATATTATATATACACTCAACTCAGGACCCGCGGAAATCCGCGGGATTCTAGAGGGGGCTCCATTTCAAATTTTTGGGAAATTTTCGGGGGCTACTTTTTCAACTTTCGGGGGCTCTTTTTTCTGGGGCTACTTTTTCATTAATTCATCAAAGGATAGGCCTACACTTTGTTGAGATTTGTTTAGTAGGCTAAGGTTTCAGGCTTCCTACTTCATAATTGCCTATTTTTAAAAAAACAACATTTTTCTAGTTCAATAATTAAGTTTTCATGCATTGATTTGATGCAAGAACTGTAACATAATAGACCCTAGATTGTGATTATTTCTGACCATGAATTTCGATAATCATTTTTCAAAGTAAAATTTTCACAAGAAAATCAGACAGAAGTTTAAAAACGTAGACATTAGTAATACTTTTACTAATTCTAAGCTCAGGTTTCGTAAATCTATTCACGAAACTATATTGAAATCGCGGCAATAATGATGCAAACCAACAGATAACAATTTCAAAGTGTCAAATCTCTTCGACTCAAGCTCAGCTCAGCTGAACTCACACACACTCCAGGAAGCTCAACACCGGCGCCGCAGGCGTCGGACGCCTGCGGAGCGCGGTGCCTGTGTTGGAGCTTCCTGCAAGCTCATCTCAACTCTCACACACTGCACAGCAGCACTGCACTGTGTGTTGACTGAAGGCAGCTTGCGACTAAACTGTCAGTCCAATGGTTTTCTTGTGAAAACTTTCCTTTAGAAAATGATAATCAAAATTTAGTATACATGGCCGTAATAATCACAAAATAAGCTTTGATTTCATACCTCCATTCACGAAAACTATATAAAAATCGCGGCAATAATGATGGAAATAGGTCTCTAAGTTTGGACGTGGACGGGAAGCTTCGTGTGTATCTCTGTGGCTTGTGCAGCTACTACAAAGGATATCCTATAGAAAGATGCTTTACTCGGGTAAGCCCGACCCTGTGCATCGTCCATTTAACACGCAACTTAATGTGAGTGGATGGTCATCGGTCGTGTGTCTACGGATGCAATGTTGAATATCCATGAGGTATCTCTGTCGTCACGCATATCCTGCATTATGCATATCGCGTCTGTTTTCGCCCTGGACGTCGACACGGAGGAGGACCTCGGGCGGAGTATAGCCAATTCCACAGAGTAGACTCTCCCGCGGACGACGGCACCGGGCACGGGTACCCCGAGGGCAGGGTTCAGGAGGAGATAGCTGCACCAACTTGGGTCGGCGATCTCATTAAAAAACAATAGAATACAAAGGCCGGCGGAGACGTCATGCCCCCCCGCGGAGCCTTAGCGTATTACTATTATAGATTTCATTATTTATATTGCAAAATTTGTCCGATATTGTTACAATTAAAATATTATTTTTTTGTTGAATGGGCTTGAGCTGAACATGTTTTGATCACGCACATGTATTCTTGTTTATGGCTTGCGATCGCGACGTAGCGTGGTCAGGATTTGGGATTTGAATGGCGCCAGTGAAGTCGCGCCCACCACTGGATAGGCATAAATCACAAAGGCGGAAAATGGGAAAAAAGTAAATATAAAATGAGCAATCATGACATGAAAATTAGGTACAAAATGACAAGTTTATTAGCTTGCAAAAATGTTTACATTTTTCTGCCGAACATCCGAACCAAGCCTTTGCGTTCGGTTCGGTTCGATTTGGTTCGGAAGTGCCATTTTCGGCGAACTTCCGTTCGGTTCGGCGGTTCGGCTACAGCACTAATCTTTCCTTTTGCCGTTGGAATTTCACCTTTTCATTTTTTGGGACTGCCAATGGGACATAGTACCTTTAAGATGGCTTTACCATCCCTTCTTTGAAAATATGTCTTTGCAATAACCTCATATCTGATTATTAAATATTGAAGTCAGGATTAAGAAAGTTCTCATCATCGCCTTCAGCATGGGAAAAATTATTTGTTGGATCTCATGTCAGTGAGATGCATGCATAAACTCTTTTTTTTCTCATACACAAAGTGACTAAAATATCCCTTTTATGACTGAGCAGTGTTTATCCCAGTTGGATGACTAATAGAATAATTTGTGAAGCACAATTTTACATACATATGTTATATCAACTTTTAATTTGTCGGCTGTCAACCAATTCTACATGATTACTAAGGTTGAAACACCCTTGCTAACACTTCCTTTTGTCCCCCTTTTTCAACAATTTGATTCAATCTTCCTGCAGGACACGACCGGTTTTCCCTCGGGTTGTGCTCCAAAGACATCGTCTAATTCATCGTCTAATACATTCATGGCTATTGTAATGCTGCTCACTAGCCTGCTATTAGCCTGGCTTGAGCTATGGGTCTTGGACTTCCAAGTTATACCGAAGGAAAAGAAACTATTAGAGGAAGGTAAGACATATTGAGAGGCTCAATTGCTTTGAAGCTTTATAGAAATGGGAGTTCTCCATGTTTATAGCTGTGTCACAATGGTTGCTAAAGTCTATGGAAGCTGCACCGAGGGAGGAATGAAGGGATGGAGGTAGAGCAACCGATCTCCCAGTGGTTGCCAAGTCTATGGGAGCTGCACTGAGGGAGGTAGAGAGGGAGGGAGAGAGGTAGAGAGGGAGGTAGAGCAAGCGATCTCCCAGTGGTTGCCAAGTCTATGGAAGCTGGACCAAGGGAGGAATGGAGAAGGGGAAGATAGAGAGGGAGGTAGAGCAACCGTTCTCACAGTGGTTGCCAAGTCTACGGAATCTGGACCGAGGGAGGGAGGTAGAGAGGGAGGTAGAGCAACTGATCTCACAGTGGTTGTCTATGGCAGCTGCGCCGAGGGAGGAATGGAGAGGGGAAGATAGAGAGGGAGGTAGAGCAACCGTTCTCACAGTGGTTGCCAAGTCTACGGAATCTGGACCGAGGGAGGGAGGTAGAGAGGGAGGTAGAGCAACCGATCTCACAGTGGTTGTCTATGGCAGGTGCGCCGAGGGAGGAATGGAGGGGGGAAGATAGAGAGGGAGGTAGAGCAACCGTTCTCACAGTGCTTGCCAAGTCTATGGAAGCTGGACCGAGGGAGGGAGGTAGAGCAACCGATCTCACAGTGGTTGCTAAGTTTATAGAAGCTGCGCCGAGGGAGGAATGGAGGGAGGGATGGACCGAGGGAGGTAGAGCAACCGATCTCACAATGGTTGCCAAGTCTACGGGAGCTGCACCGAGGGAGGGATGGAGGGAGGGAGGTAGAGCAACCGATCTCTTCATAACTAGAAGATCAGTTCCATTAATTTCTTTTTTCTTTAATCATTGTTTAAGTAAGATCGTTTGTAAATACAGATAGTTTGATGGATTTGTATTATTGCATTATTCATCTCTCACCTCATGTTTATCACCTGCAGCCTTGATGGCGCACTCTTTAGAGACGGATGAAAGGCGCCCTCTGTTGGATAACTCCATCGACAGAAGGTATGATCTTCCAGGAGGACAGGCCTTCTACTCACCCTATGATTCACCCAGAGGTATGTCTTCTTTCTAGTTCTCTCTTCTCATTTTTTTCATGCATTTGTGTGTGCGTTTCCTCAGGAAAGTATAGTGAACGGTCAGGCTGAGAAGATCAGAAGTTTTGTTGCATGTCTAAATCTCATGGAATTTTATCTGGTGAAGTTACAAGCTTGTAAATTTTAGTCTAATTATAGTCACTGTAAGGTTCACGAAGAGGTTGCCATCATTCCATTCTTCTCTTGCTCTCTTTCCTATTTATTTTTATGTGTTTTCTCTGCGAACCGTAATGAGGGTGTTGATGAGAAGATTAGAGGTTTTAATGCTGGACCATATTTCATGAAAAAGCATGTAGTGGATATTAAAAGCAGTCACTGTATATCAGAATTTTATTATTAGGGTTATATTCAGCTCCTAATTTTGTGAGCATTCTGTGCATTATTGAAAACACTCTGAAAGACTTTCCATCATTAAAGTATGTTCAAGTTTATTTGGTCTTTTTAGACAGTTCTTAAAATTCCAGAATTTGATTTTTATGCCTCAGTTACGAAGTAGCCGGAGGCATTTTGTTTTCGGGTTGTCCGTCCGTACGTACGTCTGTACGTATGTCCCATTCTCGTGATCGCGTTATCTCAAGAACCGACTGATGGATTCCTACCAAACTTTGGTCATGTATGTAACTTGCAGAGCCAATGAACTGATTAGATTTTGGGGTCACGAGGTCAAAGGTCACAGGGGGTCATTATGTACGCAAAAATTGCTTGTGATCACGTTATCTCAAGAACCGTCTGATGGATTCCTACCAAACTTTGGTCATGTATGTAAATTGCAGAGCCAATGAATAGATTAGATTTTGGGGCCATGAGGTCAAAGGTCAGGGCTCATTATGTATGCAAAAATAGCTTGTGATCACATTATCATTAGAACAGATGGACAGATTACCATGAAACTCAGGACATGTATGTATCTTGCATTTGGGTTCATGAGGTCAAAGATCAAAGGGTCATACATGTATATGAGAAATAGCTTGTAATCACGATATTCTGAGAACCTGTTAATGGATTACAACCAAACTTGAACTTGAAAAATTTCTTCCGTAAAATTGCTCTATGACGGAGGCATCACTGCGCGCAGTCGAAGTTTCATCTAGTTTTATTTTATTTCAGTAATGCTATGATGTGTTTATCATACTGTTTCTGTTAATGGGCAATATTTTGTATCTCAGTATGGTTTGGAGTGTGAATATAATCATTTAAAAGTTCTATAACATGGTCAGCAAAATGACTGTAAAACTAGAAAATCTTACAGCATAAAACTTTGCCAAATCACAAGTATTTCATATTGTGATTGAATCTAGTTTTAATTTTAGCCACATGAGCCGCCCACAAAACTTATGAAAGTTACATGCCTGTATAATTTGTATATTTAAAATAATATGCTATTATGCTTTTTGTTTGTACGCATCAGGTTCCGATACAGAGTCTATAACAAGTGAGCTATCAGGTTCCAGTTTTAAATCATCAAGAACAGCAGACTTTCAGTCTCTACCAAACAGTCAACGGGGAAGTACTATAGATCTAGCAGCATCAGTTGATGTAAGTTATATTATCAGCTCATTTTCTTGTGTCTAGTTTGGAAGAGCACCTTTGGTTCTTCAAGGTTAATAGCATTTAGTTAAAACCCATTAAAAGCTATTTTAAGAGATCGTCTCTGTTTGTAAAATGGTAGTTTCGTAGTAGTTTTTATGCAACAATATTGAAAGTAGCCAGAAGCAAGTTGTGTCTAGTGCACCTCTTGTTCACAATCATTAAAGTTGTTTAAAGCCTACAAGAATTTTTTTTTCACTCAATGAAAAAAAGAGTTTTGCAGAATATCTTGATGTAATTTTGACAGTTTCTGATGACCCTCAAGGGCCTTGAGTTAATAACAAAAACAAACAGAAAACAAAAAAATTAAACCCATAAAAACCCCAGAATCACATAGAAACTTATACAAGTAAACCCCCGCGACCCCAACAAAAACTTTGGTTTACAATTTTCTCATTAAATTCAATGAAAGAGCAAACATTTTACTTGACCGTACTTACCAGTAAAACAATTTTCTGAAATTTTACTGGCACGGGGCCAACGAGCCAGTGGTCGTGTCGAGTTTTCGTGAAAATCTGAATTTTTAGGATACTCAGTCTGTTTTTTTGTGTCAAGAGGTTGGCATCTCTGGTTCAAAGAGGGACATATAATTACCTACAACCTCATTAACAAGTACCTCAGAGAGGATTTAAAGCCGTCGGCCCCCTTGCTGCTTACTTATTTAAAGCATACGCATGCTTTCTGAGCAGTCAGGTAAAATAAACCATCAAACCTAACTAGATTTGTGAAGTACAGTACATGTATATGAGAAATCTTAATTTTTTGTTTAAATGTACGCAAACCTCTTGGACACCCCATCATACAGTGTAGGTATTTGAAAGTTCTAATACAGTTTGTGTTTATTCAAGCCTACTAAAAACACTGGTGGAGCCAAAAGTGGGTAGATATAGCTGATCTCGTACCTGATTGCTAAAATCTTATTATATTTGTATTGATGAAATGGAGCCTCGTAAATAATCTGGACTTTGGATGTTATATTACGCGTTGTCTTCATTTAGAAAGGATATGGATTACATGCTCATGCACGCGTCAGATTATGCATAACATGAAAGTGTAAATTGGAGTCATATGATTTGGTACACTGACTCATTGTCACAAGTTATTATGCCTCCGTTACGAAGTAGCCGGAGGCATTATGTTTTCGGGTTGTCCGTCCGTCCGTACGTCCGTACGTACGTACGTCCGTACGTCCCGTTCTCGTGATCGCGTTATCTGAAGAACCGATTGATGGATTCCTGCCAAACTTTGGTCATGTATGTATCTTGCAGAGCCGATGAACTGATTAGATTTTGGGGTCACAAGGTCAAAGGTCAAAGGTCACAGGGCTCATTATGTATGCAAAAACAGCTCGTGATCGCATTATCATTAGAACAGATTGATGGATTCCTCCCAAACTTAGATCATGTATGTATCTTGCAGAGCCAATGAACTGAGTAGATTCTTGGGTCATGAGGTCAAAGGTCAAAGGTCATGGGCTCATTATGTATGCAAAAATAGCTTGTGAATGCATTCTCATTAGAACTGACAGATGGATTACTATTTAACTCGGGACATCTTGCAGAGCCAATGAACTGAGTAGATGTTAGGGTCATGTGGTCAAAGATCAAAGGGTCATATATGTATATGAGAAATTGCTTGTAATCACGATATTCTGAGAACCTGTTAATGAATTACAATTGAACTTGAATTTGAACAATTTCTTCTGTTTTGATTTGTAAAATTGCTCTATGACGGAGGCATCATTTCGACTGCGCGCAGTCGAAGTTCCATCTAGTTATATATGACACTTATTGGAAATGCGAAATGAAATGAAAGTGTCTTAGAAACTTTTTGTTATGATAGTGCATTTCATTAATGTTTTGGGGCAGGTCCAAACTATTTGGATTGTGACATAGGGGACATTCAGGGACTTTAAACAAGAAATAACAACAGATGAAATTATTTATATGGCTATCTTTTGGTATGAGTTTGTGGTTAGTTTTAGTTCTGACCAATTCTTTAATTAATTTTTAATAATTAATTAAAGAATTGGTCAGAACTAAAACTTTCAACAAATGAACTAGCCCATAATAGCCACAGACTCATACCAAAAGATAGCCATATGAATAATTTCATCTGTTGTTATTCTTGTTTAAAGTCTCTGAATGTCCCGTACGTCACAATCCAAATAGCTTGGACCTGTCCTTTTATGTTCAATCATGGATAGTAGAAAAGATATTGATATCACATGATTTGGTACCAAAGTGAATGTTCAGGTTTCATGTATCATGCATGTGCTTGGGAATTCAATAAAAAATCACAATTTTATGGATGCACAGTAGCAGTGACAAAGCCTTGTATGTGTAGCTCACAGAACTTTTAAAATTCTAAATTGTAGGTTATACTACAGAGTTCATCAAACTATCTTTCCATGCATGTGTAGGGTTTCAGTAAACTAAATTCAATTACTGGCAGTTAACTAAATTCAAAATCCACCTGCAAATATTACTTGTTTACTTACATTCAAAATGGATAATCAAAGTGACTTATGAGCAGGAAGATCAATACATCTGTACATATATGGAAGTAAACACCAGGTTAAAGTTCATGGAGGCTGTAATATGAAACTAATTTTTCCCCTTTATACTCTTTTAATCCATAAACATTAGGTTATCTTGTATAAATATTGTGGGGCCTGGGAATTTTTTTATGTATTGAAACGATATACTGTATGTATTTTATGGGTGATTTGTGTCCTTAAGCCTGTGTGTCATCATTATGTCATATCATTTGCTAACTGAAACTGTGATAAAAGGCTATAAAAGGAAAGTGAGAAGACAGGTACCGGTATATTTGTCATCAACGATGTCAAAGGTAATAAAGAGTTTATGCAGGTTTCCCATAGACCCACATTGCACATATGGAGGTATACATATATTTAGAAAGATATTTGTAATTTTATTATGATTTTTTTTGTTTATTGTATGAAAGAAAACAAAAATTGAGTTTAGAAATAGAAATTTATATGCACTTTCATCATAAATTGAGAAAATTTTGTTCCAAGTATTCTGTAATGACCATTAAACTCATCATGTTAAATGAAGCATGCTACGGACGCTTAGCGAGGTTCATTTGAAACCAGTCGGTACAATAGTAACCTATCTGAAGAAAAAAATATGAACATAGCTAGTACAGGAGGGATAGCTTATACATGTGCATTCATGTGTGCTTGCTCAAAGGTCAAATAGTTTCCTCCCACAAACAAACTTTATGGGAGGGAACTTTTCAATGTTCCATGAACTTGGTTTTTGAGTGGGCATGCGCATGTTTAATATCTACTCTACTGCTTATCGATATGAAATAAATAAACAATACAATCTATTAATAACACTGTTATTGAACGAAGAATTGAGATAGTCTCATATTGTTAAATTGTTACGACTGCAGAATTAAGAATATTAGGAGTCAAATTAGTAACTAAATGATTGTAATTCACAGGAGCAAGAATACATCCAGAAGGCCAAGGATGCGCTGGTCCAACTGCAAGGTATCCTTGACAACACAGAGATATGGAAGAAAGAGTGCAGTGAAGGAGATGCAACAGTTTACTGTGGAACCTACCCAGGGATAACTCAGAGATTATACAAGTTAGATGTGAGTTTGACATGCAGTTTCAGTTTCAGTTTCAAGTTTATTGATACAAATCCACGAGGTTAGATTATCATCAGACACGAACAACAGTACATTAGGACAAAATACATACCGGTACATTGTTATACAATACATACATTGGTTCAGAATACACGGATATCAGATACATGATTGTAAGCACTTGTGATACACCAAAGCTTCATGACTGTAATTGGCAGGGATAAAGTTAGACAGGAGCTTTCAGGAAATTTTAAGAAAAGAAATATTTTTGTGACTTTGTATATTGTTTTATGAGCCTGAAGGTCAAAACGATGTATACAAAATATATTTGGGTTTATAATAAATAATTTGGTCTTAAAAACCCAGGGGTAGCTGCATTAGTATTAATACTGCTCTTCATGCGGGCCCTGTAATTATTATCACCCCAGCAACTACCTGGTACCCATTTACACCTGGGTGGAGAGTGGCAAATGTGGAGAAATGTCTTGCCAAAGGACATTAGTGCCGGGCTGGGATTCGAACCCTCAACCCTTAGATTAAGAGTCAATTTAATAAATCGATCACTATACTGCAACACTTCCACAGCTCCATGTCCTCCTGGCTTACAACAGTCAAAATTATATTGTTGTTGTAATATGACAAACAAAATTGTGTAAAATGATGGATCATTTCATTTATTTCTTTGGAGACCTCCAATTTACTTCAATCTTGTTAATTTTTTATTTCTATTTTTGTTTTATGGACATTTATTTATTCATTTTCAGTGTACTCCGTGTATCTACTCCTAATTTTCTTTGTTTTTTGTTGTTTTGTTCAGGCAATTCTTCCTGTATTACCGGAAGTAATAGTTGAAGTAATATGGGATAACATTGACGAATCAGCATCATGGAATTCAGCGTTATTAGAAGCTAAGCGAGTCCAAGACATCAACCCGTTTGTTGACATCCTATACAGCGTATCAGCCCCTGGAGGCAAAGGTGTATTCAGCAGCAGGTAGGAAGTCAAGTGTAGACAGAAGGAAAGCCTTGTTCATATGGTTGTACGATACTTTCTCCTGCAACCATGGCTATGCATCAATTTCCTACATTATCAAATTTCTTAACCTGGACCCTGGAACCTATATTATACCTAACCTGAAACTAGAGCGCTATAATGGCAGCACAGCTAAAGCCGGGGTAATAATATCCAAGTTTTATGTCATGCGCAGTTGAGTATATACATATAGAAACTGCGCATTATAAATTTACAATTATTATTATTATTAATTGCAACCCTAACTCTAACCCTAACTCTAACCTTAACCCTAACCTTAACCCTAACCTTAACCCTCTACCTTTGAAAAAAGTAAATCCTGAGCAATTGTGGCAGGAGTAACTGTGGGGTCACCATTCATACCCATTGACCACCTTATAAAATTGTTGTAGCAAAGTAAAAACCATTTTAAGTGTAAATGAACGTCAAAGTGGGTGATGGAATGGGATTTAGGGTTATTAGAAGCAGAAAGAGTCCAAGACATAAACCCCTTTTTAGACATTGTATGCATCATATCGGGGGCCCTGGAGGTAAAGGTGTATAGTAGAAGAAAGGAAGATACATCACCATGTACTCCAGTTATTGATGATCATATCATTTAGTTTAAGATTTCATCATTTTTGAGTTCACAATCTTCTGATCATATGCAGACAATACACCGGTACTTGATTTTTCTCTCTGCAGTTAAGCTTGTAACATTATTTTTTTTTTCTTTTCTGAATTGTCCATTGTTTTAAATGATACTAACATCTAGAAAACAACAAAATCTGTACTCTAAGGGAATGGATTTAAATGTCAGGTCTACTACTTAATGGAAAAAAAGGCCAAGAAATCATTGAATTGAAAGGGCTTGGACCCTATGCAGCAATTCTATCATCCAGCCATATATGGTCCATGTTTATACAGTCATGATAAAATGGGAAAAAATGCACAAAATTAGCATGTACCCCAGTCTTCCTGTTCTGTTTCAAGTTCCATGTGTGGTATTCAGTGGCCCCTTGTTGGATGTTGGGCTGCTGTAGGTATTTGATAATCCAATGAGATTTATTCACAATTAACGTATTCTTGCAATATGAGGTAACTTAAATGCAGTGCACGCACGGAAAGACCCGTCCTGAAAGCAAACTGCATAACTGTTGAAAAACGTAATTTTTTCACAAAGAGGTACACATGTAGAACCACCTCATAAGGATATGGAGCAGATAACAAATAAGTCAGTAAGTACATAGCATATACAGTGCATATCCATCGCTTCCAAATAGGGACTTTTGTGTGACTATGAAGTGTGACATCATGATCCTGCAATTTATTCAAATCATATGATCAGTTCATATGGAATCACCGTTTTCTCTCTTAACAGGGACTTTGTAACAGTACGGTTGTGTGAGCAGCGAGGCGATCGTTACGTGTCTAGCGCCATAGCTGTAAAGCATCCGGACAAACCACCGGTACCGCAGCATGTCAGGGGTGAGATCGGAGTAAGCGGATGGGTGGTAGAACCTGCACAGGATAGGCCGGGCCACTGCAGATATATCTGGATAATCAACTCGGATATAAAACTAAAGGTAATCTAGCCCAGCTAACCCAGTCACTGACATCAAGGCCTTTGGGAATATTGTTGGGTCGGGGCAATTAACTCACATTTTCCCCTTTCACAACTTAAAATTATATTAATATAATAAGAAAATCAAGACGATTGGTTACCTTTGATCCGAATTTGTGGTTTATTATACTCAACTCCATCAACCCCTTCGAATTAGCATATTCTGTATGATTTGCATATTCACTTCAAGTGATCTATGTGATGAAGTTAATGCAATTGAGATTAGAATATACTTTTTTTGGTGGACAGTTGCTAAAATCGATTTTGATTTATCATTATTGATTTACCAATAGAAGCCAATATGTTCATGTAGTGTGTTTAGCCTGATGCACATGAGATGTTGATCCAATAACGCCAATTTTTTTAAACAGATTGTTCAATTCATACCGTTCATGCCACAGCAAGCAGTGAACAAGAAGCCAGACAGATAATGCCAGCTGTGCGCAGAGTTGTTACAAAAATGTTCAGTATACCTACATTTGTTTGTGTAGATTCTTACGCCGATTTTCCGTTGATTTTTGGATTTTGGACAAATCTGGAACCCTGTGCTATGCCATTGCACCTTACTTCAAGGGGTTGCATGTAAGGGCTACGGAGTGTGTCTAGACCTGCAATATGCCTAAAGGTCCTTGAATGGTGCATTACAGTGGATACACAATCCACAGCGCCATTTACCGACACCCGTGTTTAGTTGATTTCATGTGATGCATTATGGGAAATGTCGACAAAAATATCAGCTGTGGCATTACCCTATGAGATATGGGGATCTAATTAGAATTTTTAGTGGAGAAGGTTTGAATAGCTTACAAGGGGTAAAATTTTGGATCAATTTTAAAAATGTCAGTATCATTGACCTGACTCACAACGTTTTGGCCATCTTCGCCACTTTTTGCCAAAAGTGACCATAACATGGGTAATATTCTAATCAGCAAAGGAGATTTGATGGGCCTGTTCTATATAAATATGTGCCTTGGTGCCAGAAAAGGTGATCAAGTTAACCCCCTTCAAGAACAATGTAGTCCTTTTAATCACTTTTTTGGCGAAAGTCGACCATTTGTATTATTTTCGGTCAAAATCAGGCCCAAATTTTCGTTCAGAATCAATTAGTGGTGGGGTTTTGACGTCCAAAATCAATCTAAAAATGTGTGCTGATATCAGAATATCCCATTGAATGAATAGTACACAATTTGCACCACTTTGGTAAATTTGATCGGGAGCTAGCATTTTGCTGCGCTGCACTGGTTGAAAGATGTCGACCTGCAAGTTGTAAAATTTGCCTGTCGCGTCTTGCCGGTGGGGACGCTGTCAATTGTGAATCCTACATTGAATTGACAGCCCCATATTGAAATCAGACGTAATACTCACCTACAGATGCTGGGAGAAAATTAAAGGGTGTTGCTCTAATTGGCTCAGAGCAGAACTTGAAATATTTTATTCTTGTAATGTAATATAAGTACAGTATAACCTTTATATATAGAATGTTTAAAGAAGACAAAAATATATGTCTTAACATGGGTAAGTGGTTGTTACATACAGGTTTCTTTAGTACAAGATTTAAATGAGAAAAACTGATAAAGGGAATCAAAAGGGAAACAAAAGGGGTTTTGTAGATCGATGGTCTTCTATGCTGTTTTTCTATTCAGGTGTGTGTTAAAGCAGATTTGACTACTATGTCATACATTTCCTACCACATCTTTATTTGTACTTTTGAATAATCAGGGTGGATTTAGTTCATTCTCTGAGAAACATGTTTCCGAGCTCTCTTGATACTTGATACTTGATACTTGATGAGGTAATCCCTAAAGCAGCTTTTCCAAGCTATACTGGGATGGGATGTGTTGTGACAGCAGGTGAAGGTGCAGACAACAGAAAGGTGTACAATTTCTATATACAATAAAACAGTGGCGTGCAAGTAAAAATCATGATGCTATATAGTTTACAGCATTCTGGAACCTACAGGAACCTACCAAAACTCAAGATTACATTTTTAAAGTGGTGGTTAACTTTTTGTCCACTCAGTACATGTATATGTACATGATGTATGTGATAAGACTCACACTTGTATAGGCATAAATAGTCACACCTGTACTCTCTTTTGTTGGTGCCTTGATATCAGTCAAAGAAGAGCTGTTTTATAAGGAAGGCAGGTTTGATCTAGAAACCTGGCTCACTTCCAGAGTTCTACATCAGACCTTCAAGTAATCATGAGGGATTATGAGACAGGTGAAGTCACGGAAATGGTTAGGTTCGCACGACAATCTGTTAACTTTAACTTTAAGTCATGGCTTTAAACTTTTATAGATATGTTGTAGTTAGGGATCTTGTAGACACACTCATGGTCATTAAACTGTAAGTTTACTAGAAGTTATTAACCACAAGATATATTAAGGTTAGGGCAATAACTACGAGAAGAGAAGGGGGGGGGGGAGCGAGTGGGGGAGTCCTCGCTTAAAGTTATGTGCTGTGTGTGGATGCAAATGACTTAAAGGCTATGCCAGCTTGAAGTTGAAATGAATGCTTGTCCGGCTTGTAATTCAACTATGACAGTTCAGTGTAAACATAGCTATAATGATTAAGATAGATCAGATGCCATGTTGAGTATCATAAGAACGCTTGAGTGGGATATCAGTCTGCTTCTAATTTCATATCACTCTCGACCTGTATGCGTTATACCCTAATGATCAGTGCACAGAAGGGATCGTCAAGGGCAAGGCTGTTTATTTGTAATTTGGTTTATCAGCTTGGAAACCCAGAATATACAAGAGTCTATTTAGTATGTCATGATCATAAAATGATGTGAATGATATATTTAGGATGGATTCACACATAAAACTAAACCTCTCACAATCGTGGTAACCCGAAATAAATAGAGTGAAATTAGAATTGGTGATCACATTTTGTATGTTTCAAAGTTTGTCAACATCAATTTTTGTTTTCTTCATGAGATTTCCTTCTGCAAAATATATATTGATCAATTCCATGCAAAGCTTTGGTGACCTTGAGATATCCTTGGATCATGAATGAGGGAACATGAATTATGGTACATCATTAATTGCTAGTGACAGGCCAATTTCCGTATGCACGATGTGTTACTAAAATAATTCATGTATAGCGTGAGAACATTCTCGTCCATTTTCATCAAGTGACCTGTTGACATGCAGTGTGGACTACACGAGTATAAGCATGGTATTTTGTAAATTCAAAGTGGACTGTATGTGTGCATATATCTCATGGGCATCATCATGTCAAATGTATTGTCTTGTAGTACAATGGAATAATTGTAAAGTTGAATTAAAAGTCATATTTATTTATGATAGTAAAATAACTGCATATCAAGGGAAATTGGTTTTTAAAAAACCTGCAAATTATTTGTTTATTACATGTAGGCATTCTTTCTTCTTCTTTCTTTTTTATTTATATAAAAAATTGAATACATACTTAACCAAACATTGGGAGAATCACATACTCTGATGCACATACATCGGACTGCATGTTTTATTCATGGGCTAATCTTCCTTTCTTGATAACTTTCATATCAAATGCATTTTCTATCAAGTTGGTACAACAGATTTTATAATTCTAATTGAATTCCAGGATTTTGTTATTGTTTGTCATAACCAGATCTCAAGGTTACCAAGAGTAGCTATTTAATAAATGGGATTCATGCCTGAAATTGATGGACGGTTATGCCTATTAAAATAAACTTAAAATAATTTTAGACTGTGTGAATAACACTCTACATGTTTGAGGATTTCGTTAATGAACAGACTAATTTCATTTTCTAAGAAGTTTACTGATCATGTTTGGGAAAGTAATTATGACAGCAATTTCACTTCCTGCCATGTTATGACCTTTCAGTGTTTCTTGCCAAGTACTCCCCCATCTTGGTGTACCGTATGTATCTCTTTTGCTGCAGTAAGAATTTAAAAATAAACAGAACATATATAAGTTACATGTTTATGAACAAAAAGTAAAATTTCACCACAAACAATGGATCATACGTGCATCATAATATAACACAGAAATAATTTTCCCAGTCACCGCTCTTAGCAGATATTCTTATGCTGAAAGGGGTCATGCATGTTCTGCAAAAATGTGATTCTCCAGACACAAGCTCAGGACCTTGTATTCTACTCCTGCCACTTACACATGTCACATGTAAAAACTCGTATCCAGACACCTATCCTCTGGACATCCACCTCAGTGGCGGATCCAGGGGGGGGGGGGGGGGGGCAGGCCCCCCCCCCTGGAAAAAAAATGTGTATTTTTACATTTGTTAACGTTAATTTTACCTTGTTTTGGAGATGACCCCCCCCCCCCTTGAATGCCAAGGGGGAGGGTGCAATTTTTCAAATTACTGAGGGCCAAACAAAAAAAAATCAGTGCTCCCTTGATGTGTTTAACACATCGTACACAACATATTAATATTGGTAGTGAATGTTATAATACTGGACCCAGATCTAAGTAGCCTCGTCTCATTTTGTCTCACATGTGTGTATGTCTATAGGTTTGGACACCACAGACTGTCATGGATCCAGTGATGGGCGGAGTTATTATTAGTTCTTACCGGGATCTCCTCAACCACCTGACGCAGCAACGAGGCACTGCCTCGTCATGACGACGGTGAGACGGAGCACAAGCGTGTTATAATGTCACCTGGATGCCAGCCAATGACCAAATCGGACGTCAGTACTCTTGGATGAATGAAGATCCTTTCTCCCCTATTTTTGTTATGTAATGGTTACTGTAGACATGTTTCATTTGTCACAATGTGAATATTCTTTGGAGGGAGGGGAGTTTGATAAGTGAGCACATTATGATGTGTTCATGGCATGTGCACTTTGGTTAAGTTGTAAACAGAGTACTATTGAACAGAGCTACATGTAGTAATATTCAAATGTAGTTCTAGGGATGAAACTCTTCCATCATGGTTAGTAACCTGTCTATAGAAGTGGTTATCATGTCTATGCAATAGAGCATACCTTGATCCAAGGACTGCTGGAAGAAAGGGGGGTGGGGGGTGGTATAAAATTACCCATGTCGTAATGCTGGTAGAAAATGTCAAAGCTGTCATGAAAAGTAAAGTGTTGTGGTGAAGGAGGTCTTTCAAAGAAGGGGCGGGGGAGGAAGGGAGGGGAAATACAGATTTGCCAAGAGGGGGAAGGCACAATTGCATATCTGTTCATAAATCTTGACACTTGAATACCCCCTCCCCCTGAAAAAAAGGGGAGGGGGAGACAAATCAGATCTGCTGATATTTGCTTTTTGAAATAATGTGTTCTCGAAAATTCTTCTCTTGTTGGGGACTTATTTGTAATATGCTACATTTTAAAACTTTTATATATTGTATAAGGATTGAAGCTTTGATAAAGAAGGGTGCAATTTTTTTAGTAATAAATTTGAGCATTGCTCTCTAAACAGAGCAGTAGATTTTTATTTTATTTCATAAAATGCTACCAAAGTAATGCAATTTAGTAGATGTTACAGAAAAGAGGTAGCATGTGTAGTTTTTAAGTTTTAAATACTTCCAGACAATCCCCAAACTGAATGGCAATTGACAAATGTTTGACCATCAGGGGTAAATTTTCTGTTTATTTTCAGTGTTGCCAGTGTAACCGGGGTATGAAGAATTGTGTCTGAGAAACCTAACTCTAACCATAAACCTAACTCTAACCTTATGAATTGAACATCCATATACATAAATTCTATTGGTGGGGTAATCAGAAAGTAAACATAAATAATACTTGTATGTGATATATTTTAGAAATTGAGTTTTGTGACACATCCAAAATGGCATCCTTTAGTGCTCAGAAAATTAGCAGCTAGGTTCAGTCTGCAAGTAAACATCTGAGGAAGGTTTCTGGACTATAGACACCGAAACGCTTGTAATTAAAATCTAGGTGTGTCGTAGAACTCTTTCTAAATTATCCAAACCGTCCTGGCGAAATTGTTTAGTAAAATGTGAAATAGATTCCCGCTATTTGTGAGATTACTAGCTATATCATATCAATTTATTTGCGTTTTTTACATCACAATAATGGCTTCCTTTCATATTTCATTAGGTTAGGAAGCACCAAGTTATTTTGAAATATTATACTTTCTTAACCATTCCAAAACATTTATACAGACCATACAAGACTGAAGTATGATCTTTTATACCATTCTATTCTAATTCCAATTCTATTTGCCCAATCAGGCGCGTACGCAGGGGGGGGGGGGTGTTTGGGGGTTAAACCCCCCCTCCCCCTTGGGTATTTTCATGTGTATAAACCCCCCTAAAAAAAAATTAAAAAAATTATTCCCATGGCTGACCTAAAAAAAGGCGACCTTACCCCCCCCCCCCCCCCCCCCCCCAACGGAGCAAAATGTCAAATTTTCAAATTTGATATCTACTTATCTAAATTATTCCTACCCTTACCAAGTTTCGTAATCTTATAGAAGTATGTGATTTATCCTGATTCATATTTTTTGAGAATGTGACATATTAACGCTTTCATCTAAAAGTATACAACAAAGGCCCTGATTCAGCCAGTCCACCTTTCATTCTTGAATTACAAAAAAACAAATATATAAATCCGAGAAATTACAAGGAGTATGAATAAATCAGTTGTTAACTGTAGTGTACTATAGTGTATAATGTTAGGCTTTATTTTGTGTATTTGTGAAGCTGGAGTTTTCCCTTTCTACATGTTTAAATATTGGGCTGTGTGAGAAATTTTTGAAAAATATATCCTCTTCATCACATTTCTTATTAACAGTGCAATTGATCCATGAATGCTATGAGGTAGGATATATCATCATTTTCTACTTGAAGCCTTTGTAATATTCTATTGTACTGTCTCATAAATACCTTCTTAATGCAAGATTGTACATGTCAAACTGAAATTCACCATGAACTTTGTACTTACAATGTAGGATGATTTAAGCAGTGATGGTTGTACATGTATATTACAATATCAAACAACTGTAATGTTAAGGAAAATAATGTAATGAATTGTGATCAATGCTGTGATCAATTGTTAGGTATGTCAGTCAGAAGTGACATTTTTCAGAAGATGATTTATATTGGAATTTCGGTACCGAGTATATTTTTTATTGTACCATGCTAGTGAATAGATGTGAGTATTTATGCAATTTTATGTAAAATTTTGAAATTTTCTTTTAGTCATGAATCGACTAAGATTTCATGAAGGCTTCTTTTTAAAAAAATGTCTTTTTTAACTAACAGAACTATGTGTTTTCATATTGAAAGCACATTTTACTTATCGTAAGATACTTCTTATCATGTTCATGTCAAAACTATTACTCAAAATTCCTATTGTAAATGTTACATTATTGCTCTTTGCATTTTTGCAATATGATATGTTTTATATATTGTATACTTCTTTCATACGAGAAACATTTTGATAAACATAGCTCCTTGTACGCTTTTTTGTCCTGCATACGTATGTTTAAAGTGCCATTACGTCTTCTCCTTCTACCTATATCTACTTTAGAGTAATGATCAACTCCATCTACAAGCTCTTTAGCTCCGTCTCTTTCAGTTTTATTATTATTGTTATCATCATTACTTCCTTTTCCTCACCCTTTTTTTGATTTCCTTTCTTGTCTCCCTTTTATTCATGAGAAAACAAATGCATTTATTTATACTATGTGATACAAAGAATTGCATCAAGCAGAGAGTTAATTTTTCCTTGAGAAAAAGTGGAACAATGTTTCTCAGTTCTAATTTAGCCGAAACTGTGAATGTAAGTTTCACATTCTGAAATTTCTTCTAATGACATTCTTAAAAGTTTTATTGATTTCTTTAAAGTATATATCCAGTATATGATGATTTTCATTGTATGTGTTTGTCAAAATTGAGTGAGTGCTTGAAATTTGTAAATAAAAGATATTCTTTCCTATAATATAAATGTTTTCTCAATCGTCTATGAGCACAGTTGCACGTGAAGAGATTAAGAACAGTTATTTGTTGATCATGAGTAGCAAGGAGCTATGAATCTATAAAAAAAAAAATCACTCTATTTAATACAGTAAGAGTGAAATTAGCTTCAATTCAAACCAGAAATTTTAAACAAAAAGTTGCAAAGGAAATGATGGTTATTACTTGACTTTTTTCTGAACTCGGGCGTTCCTGTTTTCTTGTGGTGTGTGTGTGTGGGTAGGTGTGTGTGCGTGTGTAATGCATATGTAATGCGTGTGTAGGGGGTGGTTAGGGGGAAATATGCCACCAGTATGACTAAGCGACAATGTTTAAACCCTTTGGTGAGACTGTTAAAATCTCATCCTTTTATTTTGCCGCCATTCTCTCTCTTCTTTGCCGACATCGAATAGAGATTTCAAGACAGCATTGTGAATTGTGGGCGATTATTGCCTACACAGTGAGGGATACCGCTTCCGAGACAGGGAGAGAGAGAGAGAGAGAGAGAGAGAGAGAGAGAGAGAGAGAGAGAGAGAGAGAGAGTTTGGTAACATTTAAGGTTTGAAACAATACCGCAGTAATACCACATTTAAATCATCCTTATTATCTTGTGAAATATAACATGTTTCGCAAGTTTGTCTTCATTTATTCTAGCCACAAACGCATTTAACCCTAACCGTAAATTCTGATTATTGCTTGATTTATGCTGCTAGACGATGACTACGATAGAGCGCATAATACGATGCTAATTCCAACTAATTTGCAACACGGATCACCGTGATGCTGCAATCAGTCCCCCTACTCCGAAGTTGATCAATACCATAATTCTACCTATAAACCCCTCATTACAACCGCTCTTATCTGATTCCTATTTTCCCGTCGTCACCGTGTGTAGCCATCAGCATCCTCAATGCCGGCATCTTTTTTTCCAATTTCATCCCGTAATTTGTGACATCGTCGGTTTCTCGAAATGAGCCTTAGATTGTGATAGAACTTCTCTCATCAGATATAAGAGGTGATTTTAAGATTGGGCTAATCCTTTTATCCCCTCATTTCCATTCTAATTACTCCGAGTCGTCCGTGAAAATGCTGAAAAATTGTATTACAGATGTATTATTTCGTGAAGCAATTTGGCGAATTATTGGGTGTGAAGGGGGGGGGGGGGTGGGGGTGGCCGAAAGATGGGAGCAAACCATTTGAACTCGATTGATCGTTGAACAATCGTGTTTGACCCTTTATCACGATCACCACGATTACCACGAACGAATGCCGAGAAAGTGATGAAAATGAAAACTGGAGGTAAACGTAACGAAGCGATTAATCGACGGGAAAGGCGCTGCTTTTTGTAAAGATGGGGGTAACTTGGTGTGAATTTGTGTTCACTGTTTTCATTTTTTTTTTATTTAGGTGTCTTTTTTTTAATTTGTTTATTTTTACTCTCTTTTTTGACATTTTGTTTTGTAGTGACAATGTCGTCTGGCAACCAAAAATATACAAAATAACATAGGCCTATATAATATACAAACAGACCACTTCGCTGCCGAGTATGTCGTGGCGGTTGCCAGAATACTGGTAATTTGACAATTCTTTGATGAGGAGCTGCATCCCCCTACCCCACTCCCACCTCTTAAGCAAATGGGAACAACGTAATTGGCCTGCAATGTATACCGTTTAGCTGGACAAACAAGAACCATAGAAAACCATATAGGCTTTCTTGGTTGACCATCGTCCATTATTCTTTTGGAGCAATCAAGATGATTTAAGGTTACAACACCGGGTTGATTTACCGCCATGCTTTTCTTTTCCAATTATCATATTCATTCAATCATTAAGTACGCGATATTGTCAATGTGTCACTTCTCTATCTCGTGGAAGTCCAAAGAAGCTGTTTCATGCCAACGTTTTAACACCATATCCTTTTACTCCCTCGAGAAGAAGTCATTAATCAGCTATGAGATAGCCGAAGTTTAAGCCCTC